GTGTGTGTGTGTGTGTGTGTGTGTGTGTGTGTGTGTGTGTGTGTGTGATTTGTAAGTATCTCTGAATACCGAATAAATGCCAGCATGTGACACTGTTTACATTTTGAGTAGACAAATATTTCCTTTTAACATTGGCACTAGACTTTACATCTGTACGAAAAAAAATACTTGAACTCCATAGGCTTTTATGTATTATTAGAAGCATAGGGAAGATTGTTGATCGGAGCTCCTAAGAGTATGACTCAACACTGATAATACTTTATATTTTTACCTAAACTGTAAAGGAACACAGTTAAAAGGTAGAAGTAGATATTTGAAATTTTTCTTCAACTGATAGGCTACATTTTTCTTAAAACAAATGCAAAAGATTTTTTGTGTGTTTGTGATCCATATTGATCTGAAAAGTATAGCTTTCCCCTTTTGTAAAAATTTCAAGTATTTGAGAAAATTGCATGACATTTGATTCCTGAAAGACTCTCTTCTTCTTTTTTTCCCAAATCAGTGAAGGCTTCTTTTCATGTCAGTTGACGAAAGCAGATCTTTGGGGATGAAAATTAATATTCATGGGAACTGTCAAAAACAGTTGGCATTCTTTTGGAAACTTTGAAATAAAAAAGCTTTGTTGTTTATAGGTTTCTGTGTTATAACAAAAGAGGGAACTATTTAAATTGGGAAATTGTTGAATAGAAAACTTAGATCAGCCATATTTACTTTAGGAATGGTGGCATCATTGAATTCAGAGGTTCAAATTCCTTTAATCACAATTTTAAAATTTTCTTGGGAGTTATGCATTCAGCTTTTCATTTTGAAGGACCTGTTTTGCAAATTGCCTCTTTTCTAAATAGTTATTGTTAAAGGGCCAACAATATGACTTGAAAAAATATAAATTCATTTGTATTTTCTTTTTGTAAAAATTAAGAGCTTGTTACTTATTTATTTAGAATTTTCATTCTCTTCTTAACTTGGTCATTTCTCCCTACCCCAGCATTTGATTGCTTGTTTTTCAGTTCTGGAATGCAAGTATAAGAATCTTGTGCAAAATTTGTTACATTTATAGTTAAGATTGTGAAAAGTAACCTAATTTGCATACCTTTATTTTACTTTTTTTAGTTTAGATTACTATATGTGCTTCTTTATAGAATAACTTTGCCTTGAAGACAGTAGTTTTAAGGAAAAGGCACAGATAGCATAGTTTTCCCTCCCTCCCCTCCCCTCCTTTCCCCCTCCTCTCCCCCTCCCCCCCCCTCCCCTCCCCTCCCCCTGCCCTCCCCTCCCCTCTCCTCCCCTCCTCCCCTCCTCCCCTCCTCCCCTCCTCCCCTCCTCCCCTCCTCCCCTCCTCCCCTCCTCCCTCTCTCTCCCTCCGTCCCTCCCTTCCTTCCTTCCTTTCTTTTTCTGGTTAAAATTAGTATAAGAATTTCTCCTAGATTGATGGTTTTTTTTCATCCCCTGAGGTGAAGGGACTGGAAAGTTTTTTAGCTTCTGAATTTTATTAATTTATTTTGTTTTCTTATAGGGAATCTTTACTACTGTTTCCTCACACAAAAACATATTTTAATATTCCTTCATTTATTACATTTGCCTGAATAAACTTCTGATAAACATTCTTGAACTAATTTAATGACATAATTTAATGCTTAAATTATAATTCCTTTTTACTTTTGTACATGAAAACAATTTTCCCTTTTGAAGGAATATCTTAGTGATATATTTCTCAATTATTTGCTACCATAGGATGTTTGGATCTGGCAGAGAACATAACTTTACACGTCCCAATGAGAAGGGAGAGTATGAGGTGGCAGAGGGGATTGGCTCTACTGTGTTTCGAGCTATTCTGGTGAGTGCTCTTTCTTATGTGTATTGATTGAATCAGTTGACCCCTTCTTGTTAGGTACTTGGATTGGAAGCAGAGTTCTATTTGGATATCTCTATGGAAGTATCCAGGGCATTTTTAAAAAAAATACAATTTATCTTTTTTTGCTGTGTAAATATGATATAAATAAATTAATTTTATAACCTTCATAAAGATAAGATAGGGGATAATTCATCTCTTAAGTCTGCACAGGCAATTCTTTCAAGAGTTTAGTGGTAACATTTCTATAGTCACATTACTCCACCCTCCTTAATTCTATTAAATACAGTAAGTTGATAATTTTTTACTACCAGAGAATAAATGTGGCTACTGGAATTCTAATATTTTATTGCATATAACTAACAATGGACACTTACGAACATTTAAAAGTCATCTCTAAAATGTATTTCTTACCATCTTTGTTTTAAAACTTAAAAAAAAATTTAACTTTTTATTTTGAGAAATATTTGAATTAATACTACAAGTCCCTATTGTAATTTTAAATCAGTGATAAAGGTTTGATTTACAGTGTGTGACAGTTTATGCCACAGTCTGAAAATATGGTTTCCTTAGTTTTGTGGGAAGAGGAGAGGGAGGATCCTGAGGTACAAGACAGGAAAAGTAGTTGATAATGATCAGTACTAACAAGTACTTTGAAAAGTACCAGAAGATGTCTTGCTTCCATTCATGTAGCAACTTCAGAAATAATGTTGCTGTGACTCTGAACCTCAAGAAGCTTGAGGCAGATCTTAATTTTGGGGGAAGTGCCTTTTCAGCTTCCCATACTTCCATTTGACCCCCAATGGAGTTGATAAGTTTACTCCATGACTCAGCTATGCAGTAACTTATCTGTAGTTCTCGGCCAGCCCCTAACAGCATTTTAAGTAGATTTTGGAAATAATTACTATTATTGTTCGTAATAATGTGGGCAACACCAAAGAACAGTATTTGGAAGAAGAATATCTAATTATGTGTTCTGTTTGCATGTATTTGAATACTTGGATATGATTTTGAAGTTCTTTACTAAAAACCTTAAATTTTGCTCAATTCTCTAGGTAATATTTAAGGTAACTTAAAATATATCATTTAACTTCCTTAAAAAATTTTTTAAAAATGCATGGTAGTTATGTAGACAAATAATTTGTAAGGGGGAGAATACATATACATTAGCATGATATAGTAGAAAGAAGAGATGCATAATTAATGAGGAGACCTGGGTGCTAATCTTACCTCTGCTGTTAAATAATTTTATAATAACTGGGTGAGCCAGTGAACCCATTTGGACATAAATTTTTCTTGTTGGTAAAATGAAAAAGTGGTTAGGTGAACGGAGGTCCCACCTAACTTTAAAGTTCCACAATTCCTCAGAGTACCACGATTTTTGAAAATTCTACCAGCCCAAGCTTAATAATAAGTTTTGCCTACCTCGTGCACTAGATGTTTTATGCATTCTTTACTTTTTTTTTTTTAGGATTACTATAAAACAGGAATAATCCGTTGTCCTGATGGCATATCTATTCCTGAACTGAGAGAAGCTTGTGACTATCTTTGTATCTCTTTTGAATATAGTACTATTAAATGTAGAGATCTCAGTAAGTATGATGTTTTGTGTGTGAGTGTTTGTAGAGTTAAAATATATTGGAATGAAATGCCTGAAATAATGCTGTTTACCTAGACTTCAAGTATTTGTTTAATTGAATTCTAGAACACTAATACCATGAAGATTATTTGTGAAAGTCCACAGAAATCTTTGTAAGCTCTTGGTGTAATTTTCCAAAACTTTCTTTCAACTTTAATAATTTTTTTGTTTATAGACTCTCCCAGATTTCCTCTTCAACTGTCTCCTCTATCATTTGTTGCCAGTCTTCATCTCCCAGCTTGGGAGCCCTGGCTTTGGCCAAGTGTGGTATTTGCCTTCACTCCTCAGATCACATCAACCAAAAATTTATAATTTTTTTGTACTTGCCATGTAATATAACATCCTAAGCCACTTTGAAAGATATAAATAATTCTCAAAAAGAGTATTTGTCATTAAAGATTTTAGATTGAATACCAAGTACTTAGCCCTCATTTATACAAAGGGTTAAATGACTTTATCCAAGAACTTCAAACATAGTCTCAGAGCAGGGTCTAGACCTTTGGAAATCTTAACTCTGTGATTGATATTTTCCTGTCACTCCCTTCCTTAGCACCCCTCCCTTTTACTGTTACATCATGCCTAAGAAAAAAGGTGATTATACACAGAAAAGTCAAAATGTATATGAGAATTATCAAATTTTGACTTGTGTATTAAGTGGTTGGAAAAGTTCAGAAGAAGCATATGTCACTGTGGGCTAGTGGGATTGGGGAAGAGTTCAGAGGAGACAGGTAGTAAAGAGCGAATAGGAGTGATTTAGCAAGAATGGAGTAGGAAGGTTACTCATTTGGGGATTACAGATGTAAGTGATAGACTTTGGAAATAACCTAGTTGGTGCAGAGACTATATTGGGACTGGAAGGGGATGGGAATAAATAGGGGGGCCAGATTATGGAAGGTCTTTAAACTAATATTCTTACATTTTATCCTATATAATGTGGGAAGCCATTTTAAAAGTTTGCTACCTGTGATTATAGATATGTGTTAGTCCCAGATATATGGTTATCTTTACTTCATTACCTAAACTCAACACTAGTTTAGCAGAGTGGGGTCATACCTTCTCAACATTGATGTGTTAGAAATTGTGAATGGAAAATTTTATTTAAATTTGTAAGGCAACTACTATATATTTAAATGTAGCGAACCTTCATGCTTAATTATGATTTAACTTCTTGCAAATGAGTGGCCTTATTAGGTCTGTTCCTAAGTACCATTTTCTTTTTGCCAGACATTTAAAGTCTCCATAGGGACAAAGGATTGGATGGTCCACCTTTGAGTCCATTTCTATATAAATGATACTTAAAAGTTTAAAGTCAAGTAGCTGGACAGCTGAAGAGTACAGCTGTAAACTTGAACAAAGTTTTCACATCTTAAAAAATGTTTTTTTGAAATCATGAGCATTAATTATTCTAATTTATAATTCTTTGACTTCAAGTTTTGTGTTTTTTTATTCATGGGACCATTTTAATTTAACTTTATATGATTAAATGTTGAATTTTGGTGACTGTCAGATTAAAAAAACACAAGATTCCTTATAGATGAATGGATTTTAGTTCTGTAATCCTTTGGACATAGTTTACCTTGTCATCACTGTTAAGTATCATTTATTTGTTATGGAATTAAAGGTAAGAATATTTATGTGTAATAGAAAGAAAATATGTGTAATATGGTTTTTCTAAACTTCTGGCCTTTAAATAATACTTGTGTTTCTAGATTACTTGTAATATGTATTACTGGAAATTTAGAGATTCTCATAGACTTTATTGCAACAAAGCTATATAGAATTTGAAGAGATAGAAATGGTCTTGTAAAATATAAAAGGATACTGTAGGTGTAGACTTGAGTCCAAAAATGAATTTTTTCCTGCAAATATGTGCTTTTACTGAATATTGTAATGGCACTTTACACCAAAATGTCTTTTTGTCTCTTACTTAAAATTACAAAAGTACTAAATGTATATTAATAGAGCATCCTGGATTTCTTGGGCAAGTTACTTAAAACCTTGTTTCTTAGTTGCCTCATCTTTAAAATGGGAGACAGTAATATTACTTACTTCACAAGGTTGTTGTGTAGATTATTAAATGGATAGTGCTTGACACATAGTGTTAAATAAGGGTTTGCTTTAAAAAAATAGTAGCAAAATTAGGAAATAAAGGTAAAGTAAAATAAAAAATATTAAAGGATCATATTGTACATTGCTATTTTATATTTCCACATGAAAATATATTGTGAATAACTGTATTAGAAAATATGCTTTAATAACAGCTTGTTTAATGGTTTACATAGTTATCACTCATTTTCTGCATTTTTATTGAATACTCGCTTTATACTAAATATTAGGTGTGTAAAAAGCAACAAGAAAAGACAAGACCCCTGTCCTTATCATGCTTGCAGTATAGTGGGAAAAACAGATAAGTAAATTATATTGTGTTAGAGGAAGAATAGGGTACTAAATGAGCATGTAGGAGCTGTACCTAACTTCGGTGTGCGGGCTTGAGGAAGCTTTCTGGAGGAGAGGGAAGAGGAAGTGTGTTTAGGCAGAAGGAATGCTATGTTTAGTGGCAAGAAGATTAGTACAGTGAGGAAATGACTTGTTAATCTTCTGTCATAGAGCTTACCATATAGTGAAGGAACTTCGGTTGGTAGCTCCCCAACTAGACTATAATTTCTTCACTGTTTATATTCTTTTACCAGATAAGCACTGTAATCCAGAAGAGGTTTTGAGAACCAGGGCTGGACTCACAAATGAAGGCCTGGGGCTAAGAGAAATTAAAATATAGTGTCCAGGGTGAAAGTGGTATGGAAAATGAAATTTAAAGTTTGCAAAAGGACCAGTTCAGAAGGCCCAGGAAGAAAGGCACCATCCACGTGGGAGATAGTGGGATTGTAAACAAATATCAAAAAACTGAAGTTACATTTAGTTTGAGAAGGGAGATAAGAGGCAGAGACTACGTTTGGAGTCACAGAAATATAGAGACACTGAAACGACAGAGACACTTCTATGTTTTCTCTTTGTCTCCTCTCTCTTTCCTCCCCGCCTTCTCTCTCTCTCTCCCTCCCCCCCCCGCCCCCCTCTCTCTTTTTCTGCCCCACCCCAGTCTTGCTCTATTTTTCAGTTTATAGCATTAAATCAGTTTGAATTTGAGGACAGGGACTATACCTTTTCAACTTTGTGTCCGTAGTGCCAGGCACATAGTAAGGATTCAATAAACATTTGTTGAAAGAATAAACTCTTTTTATCCCTTCATGCATTGTTTAGGACGCTGTTCCACTTACTGTCATCTTCTCTAGTATCATTAGTCTTTCCCTCTTTGTATAGAGTAATCCTCAGGCTCAAACATACTCAAATCTGACCTGTGTCTGTTGTAGACATTCAGAAAACTATATCATTTGAAAACTTTTGAGCTTTTCATTGATTCTTTGAAGTTAACTTTTTGCAAGAATTAACACGTTTATTATACTGACTCCTGCTCCAACTGCTATGTCTTTCCATTTATTCACTTTTCTTTTTTGTCTTCTTCTGCAATGGTCTTATTAAGTTTACTCTTTGGTATTTTGTATTTTTGTTACTGTTGTGTGTAGAATATGTTCAGATTTTCTAACTGCTAACGTATGAGAAAATTATTGAACTTTGCATATTTATGTTTAGCCACCTAACCAAACTCTGTTTTATTTCTAATGGTTTTTCAGTTGTTTCTTTTATATTCTTGGTAGATAATTGACCCTGTTGTAAGTTAAACTTTTTATATCTTTTTGTCTTACTGAATTGACTATAATATTTTGAACAACATTAAATTTAGTGGTAATTCTGGTACCCTTGTCTTTAAAGGCATTTCCTTTAGGTTTCACTGTTAAGTCACTCTTTCTTCAAGACTGCCTCTTCGACATCCATCTTTTAGGTCTTCTGCTTTTTTTCCTCTCACTTGCTCCCTGATCCTTCATACGTTGAACGTGGTCCTTCCCAACTGTTCTGTCTTCAGCTACCTTCTCTCTCACAGAATCTATACAATTAATCTAAGTGATGCCATTCATCACTGTGGCTTTAGATATTACATATACACCATAGATTTCCAGCTGTTTTTTTTTTAATGTATTATTTATTTTTGGCTGCATTGGGTCTTTGTTGCTGTGCACGGGCTTTCTCTAGTTGTGGCAAGCAGGGGCTACTCTCCGTTGCGGTGCGTGGGCTTCTCGTTGCGGCTGGCTTCTCTTGTTGCAGAGCACGGGCTCTAGGCGCCCGGGCTTCAGTAGTTGTGGCTCGTGGGCTCTAGAGCGCAGGCTCAGTAGCTGTGGCGTACGGGCTTAGTTGCTCTGCAGTGTGTGGGATCTTCCCAGACCAGGGCTCGAACCTGTGTCCCCTGCATTGGTAGGCAGATTATTATTATTATTATTATTATTATTTTTGCGGTACGCGGGCCTTTCACTGTTGTGGCCTCTCCCGTTGCGGAGCACAGGCTCCGGACGCGCAGGCTCAGCGGCCATGGTTCACGGGCCCAGCCGCTCTGCCGCACGCGGGATCTTCCCGGACCGGGGCACGAACCCGTGTCCCCTGCATCGGTAGGCGGACTCTCAACCACTGCGCCACCAGGGAAGTCCCTCCAGCTATTTATCTCTAATTCCTACCTACCAGTTACGTATTTCTAGTTTACTATTTAACTTGTATAATTTTTTTCTTCTTAATCAGGCTTTTAATGAGTTCCATGCATATAGTACATATAGTGATGAACAAGACAGACATTGTCCCTGCATTTATGGAGTTTACAGTCTAGTGGGGAAGACAGGCATTCAACAAGTAATGAAAAGCTGTGAAAATTCAGTGACGAGATGAGATGCTGTGACAGGTGTATGGTAAAGGGGCTATGGAGGATGATTATCTGAGTCAGTGACATTAAAGCTGAGACCTAGGGCTTCCCTGGTGGTGCAGTGGTTGAGAGTCGGCCTGCCAATGCAGGGGACACAGGTTCGTGTCCCAGTCTGGGAAGATCCCACATGCCGCAGAGCGGCTGGGCCTGTGAGCCATGGCCGCTGAGCCTGCGCGTCCAGAGCCTGTGCTCCGCAATGGGAGAGGCCACAACAGTGAAAGGCCCGCGTACCGCAAAAAAAAAAATAAATAAAATAAAAAATGCTGAGACCTAAGGGAATGGAAAAGAGAGTGAGAAGCTCTCCAGGCAGCAGAAATGGTATTTGCAGAGGCTCTCAAGTTGGAAGGAATATGTCATGCTTAAGGCACTGAAAGAAGGGAAACATGGCTACAGTGGAGGAGGTAGAGCATGAGTGGTGAGATATAAGGCCAGAGAAGTAGGGAGAAAACAAAACTTATTAACTAAATAAATGTTTATTAACTGTACATTCTCTACCAAGCCCTGTGCTAAGTTCTGGGGATGCAGCAGGAACAAACCAGGCAAAACTTCCTGTTCTAATGGAACTTACACTCTTTTGGGGGAGACAGACAATAGACAAGGTAAACAAGTAACATATGAACAAATAACATGGTATGTTAGATAGTGATATGTGCTGAGGAGGGAGAAAAAAGTAAGGAAGGGACAAAGAGTAATATGAGAGGCTTTCATTGCAGAGGAAAATTGAAGTAAATTCCAAACAGAGGTTAACAGTGAGAGCAAATGTTGAAGCAGTTTGCCTGGCATGTTTGAGAGCAGCAGAGGCTAGTATAGTTGGAGTGGAGTGAGTGAGGGTGTCAGTAGTAGGAGATGAGGTCCAGGGGAGCGAGGTCGTGTAGGGCCTTTATCTTTTGGCTTTTACTCTGAGTGAGATAAGCCATTGGAGGGTTTTGAACAGAGAAGTGATATGATCTGTAAGGCTGCCATGTTTTACCATTTCATGGACTCGCTGTTTGCACAGAATTCAATGTAGACTCATGCAGTGCTGTATTCCTGATCTGACGTATGCTTTAAAAGAATCACTGTTGGCTATTGGGTTGGAAATGGACTGGAAGAGGAATTAAGATACAAAGAGGTAATTAGGAAGCTATTATCATAATTCAAATAAGAGATGATGGTGGCTTAAATCAGGGTGGAAACAGTGAGAAGTGATCAGATTCTGGATATATTGGATGGTAGAGTTGTAAGCATTTGCTTGCTGATTGAATATGAGGTGGGAAAGAGAGAAAAGGACTTTACCTGGAAGTGTGGAGTTGCCATTAATTGAGATGGGGGGAGACTTCATGGGGAGCAGAAATTTAAAAGCTTGATTTTGGACATGTTAAATTTGAAATACCTATTAGACCTTCAAGTAGAAATGCTGAGTAGGGCATTGGGTATACATGTCTAAAGAGAGAAGTGTGGGCTGTTTATATGCGGGAGTCATCACTATATGGATAGTATTTAAAGGACTGTGCACACTGATCTGGAACCTCCTTTTACACATAACAGGCTTAAGGACCAAGTTGAGGATTTGGGACTTTTATTCTAAGGATAGTACAAGCCATAAAAGGTTTAAACTAGAGACACCTATTTAGATTTGTTTGTCTGCGGTGGGGGAGATGAATTACACAGGGGCAGAGGCAACTGATGGGTTCTACAGTAGTTTGGGTTAGAGTTACTGATGACTTGGACTGCGGGGGGCAGGGGTGCAGTGGGGCTGGACTGTGTTTTGGTTGTAACTGTTGTTCTGTCACAGACCATTCCAAACTTCGTAGCATAAAGTGTGATTATTCTTATTTTGTGGGCCAAGAATTCAGACAGGGTACAACAGAGATAGCTTATGTCTGCTTCACAATGTTTGCGGCCTCATCTTGTGAAGAATTGAAAGGATGAGGTGACTGAAAAGGATGAAGGCTTCTTCACTCACATGTCTGCACCTGAAGTGGGACAACTCAAAGGCTGCGTTCAGTGAAGACTGTCAGACAGAGTAGCTCCACGTGACCTCTTCATGCGGCTTGGGCTTCTCCAGGCCTGGAGACTGGGTTCAGAGAGGAAGCATCTGTAGAGCAAGCATTCCCAAGACCAAGGCAGAACCACAAGTCATTTTCCCCTCACCTCTGCTGTGCTCCCCTGGTTACAAGCAAGTCAGTACAACCAGCCTAAATTGAAGGAGAGAGGAATTGGACTTCTCTTGCTGGGAGGAGATATCAAAGTCACATTGCAGAAAAGCATGTGGCATAAGAGATTTTGCAGCTATCTTTGGAAAATAGCATCTTCCAGAGAGGAAATGACACAATTCAAGATGTATTTAAGAGGTGGACTTGTTAGGTCTTGGGGAATGATTGAATTAAGAGATGAAAAAGGAATCAAATATTCATTCATTTATTCTACAAATATTTAAGAGCTTGTTATATGATTAGCACTCTTCTGTGATGATTCTGAGAACTTGAGTGGATGGTGGTGCCATTTACTGATTTCGAAAACACTGCAGAGAGATAGAGACAGAAATGATTAAGTTCAATTTGGAGTATATTGAGTTTGAGGTGCCGGTGAGGGGGCATCCGAGTGGAGATTTCCAGGAGGCAGTTGAGTATAATGCATCTAGAATATAGAAGGCAGAATTAGTAGAATAAATTTGAGAATTGTCAGCATAAGGTGAGAGGAAAAAAAACGTAGAACTTCCCTGAGAAATAACAATACTTAATGACAGGCTGGAGGAGAAAAAGTTGACAAAGGTGACTGAAGAAGAACAGCCAGAGAGGAGAAAGAAAACCAGGGACGGTAGTATCAGACCTTAGGGATGAGAGTATTTTAAGGAGGGAGTGGTCCCTGTAAGGCATTCCATCAAGAGGTCAGATAAGATCATGATTAAAAGTTGTTGATTGTCAGGCAGAAGACCTAGATAGACATTTCTTCAAAGAAGACATACAGATGGCCAGTGGGCACATGAACCGATGCTCGTCATTGCTAATTATTAGAGAAATGCAGATCAAAACTAGAGGTACCACCTCACACCTGTCAGAATGGCCATCATTAAAAAGTCTACAGATAACAAATCCTGGAGAGGGTGTGGAGAAAAGGGAACCCTCTTACACTGTTTGTGAGAATGTAAATTGGTGCACTCACTATGGAAAACAGTATGGAGGTTCCTCAAAAAAAAAACAGAGTTGCCATATGATCCAGCAATCCCATTCCTGGGCATATGCCCAGACAAAACTAATTTGAAAAGTTACATGCACCCCTATTTCATAGCAGCACTATTTACAATAGCCAAGACATGGAAACTACCTAAATGTTGTCTATCAACAGATGAATGGACAAAGAAGATGTGGTGTGCGTGTGTGTGTATGTATGTGTGCGTGTGCGCACACACATACACACACACACATACACACACTGGAATGTTACTCAGCCATAAAAAAGAATGAAATAATGCCATTTGCAGCGATATGGATGGACCTAGAGATTATCATAGTAAGTGAAGTAAGTCAGAAAGAGAAAGACTAATACTGTATGATATCACTTATTTGTGGAATCTAAAATATGACACAAATGAACATATCTACAAAACAGAAACAGACTCACAGACATAGAGAACAGACTTGTGGTTGCCAAGGGAGAGGGGCATGGGGGAGGGGAGGATTGGGAGTTTGGGACTAGCAGATACAAACTATTATATATAGAATGGATAAACAAAAATGTCCTACTGTATAACACAGGGAACTATATTCAATATCCTGTGATAAACTATAATGGAAAAGAATATGAAAAAGAATATATGTAAAACTGAATCACTTTGCAGAAATTAACAACATTGTAAATCAACTATACTTCAGTAAAAGTTTTTTAAAAAGATGTTCATTGTCTTGAACAATCTAGAGGTCATTTGGAGACTGTATGTCAAGGGCTCTTTTGAGTAGTGAGTGTGGAAGTCAGATTGGAATTGGTTCAGAAGTTAGGGGAAAGAGAATGTGTTTATATATATATATAGGAGTTTGACTATAAAGGGAATTTTAAAAATCACAATAGAAGTAGCCAGCCTAGAGAGAGACATGGCTAAATCATAATATTATAATTATTTAATCATGTATTATATTAATAGTTATTATATAATTAGACAACATGTTGTAGGGGGAAAAAAAGCTCTAATTTGGGAGACTACAGATTTGAGTTTTAGTGTCTTCTCTTACCCTCCCAGTAGTTCCTGCGATGGTAGAGCCTTAGATAAGAGATAGGACATTGCCATTGAAATAGGAATAAAATAAAAATGATTAGGTCAGTGCAGGTGAGTTTGTGACTGTGTATTTGGAAACTTAAAGTTGTTCATTGTGGCTGTACTTAAGAAGGATCAAGTGAAGTGCATCTTTCATTCCTCTCAATTCTAGGGTCACATAAGCAATGTAATTCCTGTACCGTGCTATATTTTGCTTGACCTTTTACCATCCTTATCCCAGAGCCAGTTGACCCTTTTCATCTCACTCCTCTTCCTACACAGTAATATCAGTGTTGTTTGTAAATAATTTTCTGAGAAAGAAAATGTGGGAGATGGAATATGGGGGCTATTTTATTTCGTATGGATAATCTGAAAAAATATCCTTAGGATATACTTTAAGATATAACTGCATACATTGATGGAAGACAAAATGATGTAGTAAAAAATACCCTGGAGGGTAGACTTAATTCTGATTGTGCAAATTAGTTTTGTAACCTTAGGCAGATTGCTTCATGATGTGTAAAATGAAGGGGCTTGTGTTGGATGGCTTTAATTGGCCCTTCTTGCTGTAAGATTCTACAGTTCCATAAGAACTCTTCCTGGGCAAAGTTTTGTTGACTAAAGAATAACCACTATATTGTCTACAGGATCCCGAAGTAGATGCTGAACTACTCTGCTGTTTTGTTTGTTGTTTCTGCTGTTCTTTTACTTATCAGTCACCCCCAAAATGAAGATATTTTTGTGGCTTTTATTTCAGGTGCCCTAATGCATGAGTTATCAAATGATGGTGCTCGTAGACAGTTCGAATTTTACCTGGAAGAAATGATTCTGCCTCTCATGGTAGCTAGTGCCCAGAGTGGGGAACGTGAATGCCACATAGTGGTGCTTACAGACGATGATGTGGTTGATTGGGATGAAGAGTATCCACCACAGATGGGAGAAGAATATTCACAAAGTAAGTCCTGTGGCATATTTTCTCTCTCAAATCATCACAGATTTTCTCTTTATCTTTTACAATATTGATCAAAGGACAGTTTTTATAAAGAAAGTATGTTGAACTCTTACTTATACCAGGAGTTGGCAAACTACAGCCTGTGGGCCAAATCCAGCCTTTTGCCTGTTTTTATAAACAAAGTTATATGTATTGTCTGTGGCTGCTTATGCGCTACAATGGCAGAGTGGAGTAGTTGGAATGAAGACCGCATGGCTAGCAAAGCCCAAAGTGTTTACTATCTGGCCCTTTACAGAAAAAGTGTACCCGCCCATGTCATGCACAGAAATGGTTTGCTTTTTGTTGAGTATCTGGATCTTAATGATTTTTTTTCTTTGCATTTAGAAGCATCCAAGAGAGGTAGATCCTGGAATAGTAGATAATAAAAAAATAAGTTGTTTTTTTTAGATGAATTTCTATGTGTATATAAAATGAGAAGCTTCAACTCAGTGATTGCAAAGATGACTTTAAGTTCTAAGACATTCCTTTTTTAATGTCATAAGTGTTCCTGGAGGATAACAGTGACCCTTCCGAAAAGCTTTGCAGAACTTTAGGTATTTCTGACCAAAACGGCACATCTTGAGCAGCAGTGACTAACTTTTTTCTTATTGCGCTTCCAAACTTTTTCTGATTAGAACCTTTTGATTTTTTTTTTTTCTGTTAGAAAATTTATCTCATATTGGTTTGGTTTTGTTTTCATGGTGAACCCAATCTAGTATTTTTGAACAGCTTCATAGATTGAGAAAAAGAGTTAAAAGAATGATTTGAGGAGCTAGGTAAAATAGCCCAACATCTTGTTCTGTCCTCCAGTCTGTGTTGACTCGGTAAGGATTAGGGTTTAAGTAAAAAGTACACGATTATAGAAAGTATGGAGCCCTTTAAGCTCTGATTTTTCCATTTTACTTACCCTTTTCTAAAAATAAAGCAGACTAAGTGGTATTCTTTTTTATTTTAATTCTAAAGATTTTCATTAGATTACGTTATCGTAGCGCTTTTCAGAATTTACATTGAGACATTTCCTTTGCATGATACACTTGAACAACTATTCTGACTCTTCTGTGGACAGTTAGAATAATAAAATGTTACTATTTCCTCATTCCTAGGCTCTTTGCTGACAATGGTTTTCTATAATAATATGTGGAATAAAAAGTTGAACAAAGCACAGGAAAAATAAAAGGTTACCAAAAATCAGAAGAAATACACTAAATCATTTTCTGTGTAGAAAAAGGAATGAACAAACTTTTACTTTTCAAAAAGTTTGACTCCGAGAGAGTAGAGCCAGGTGTAGAGCACAGAAATGATATTATGGTGATACAGGAATAATAATAGACCTGGGCTTTTCCTTTTTAGTTATTGAGCTTTTCATTTCAATGTTTTTTGGTTTGTTTTTTGTTTCTTACCTTAAACATTGAAGCTTAAAAGGACTGGAAACATTTTTACTCAATTTGTCTATAAATATGTTTCATTTTGTGCCAAGATGTTCCAACGTAAAGAAGATACATTTGAGTAGACAGAGATGAGATAGCCTCTTCAGCCTGATTTTCCTAAATGTGACATTATACCACCACCCATTCTGAGATGTCAAAAAATCTTTATCTTAAAATAATGTCAGTAGTCTTAAGGATGTAGTAATAATCACAAATTTACTCCATGAGTAGCTTCTGTATACGTTTTTTTCCTTTTATTGGCTCTTAAACCAGCATGTTTGGTTTGTGAGTGTGTTTTTCTTTTTTTGAAAAAACCTTTGCAGTTCACCTTTTAAGGGAGATAACTCCACCTGAAAGAGAGAAGGCGAGGAAGGTCCATCAGTCTAACTCCCTGAAGTGCCCAGCACATTTGGAAGACTCAACATGTTGTCAGTGGAATGTCTGTCCTTTGCAAAGCCAGTTTGCTCTAAACAGACTAACCTAGGCAGAACATGCTCGAATCTGCCATTTTTAACATCTATATTAAATGGGACTGTTCGCCTGAATGGAAAACAGTTTGTGGGGTGGGCCTTTGTTTTGGGGGAGTTATTAATAGTTGCTCAATCCATGAAATGCAAGATGTATCCATTTTGTACTTTCTGACAAGGCAGTTTTTTCCCCTCCAGATGAGGCCTTGTAGGCATCAGAGCAAAGTCCTTTACTTTGCCTGCTTGATAATCATGTGATACCTTTTTTTTGGTTCTCTTTATTTGAAGAAATTGGGGCAGATCCCATTGCAATAAGTTTGTATATGATATATCTTTCAGAAGGAGATTCTTCCTATGGATTGGGTTATCTGATTGGTTATTAAAGCTTTTCTTGTTTCAACTTATGTAGACATTTGCTTATGTATTAACTGTACTGAATTGTCCTGTCATGTTGGCTAGTCATCCTTTGGCATCACTGCATCCATTATTTGGGCTTTTAGGGTTGTCAGGCCCCTTTGATGATCAAGATAAACTTGAGTCATCTCCAAGTACTTTGATTTTAATAAGAAAATATTTTTGTCTCTTTGTTTCCAGTTATTTATAGCACAAAATTATATAGATTTTTCAAGTACATTGAAAACAGAGATGTGGCCAAATCAGTTTTGAAGGAGAGGGGTCTTAAGAAGATTAGATTGGGAATAGAAGGTAAGACATTTTCACTATTTTCTATTAATTTTCTTTTGAAAAAAGCAAGGTTAAACAACTGGATCCCATTGAGAATATAGTTTGAATATTTTGAGAAAAATTTAGACAAATGATTACTGAATGCTCATGCAGTAGACATATAAATAACAAAAATCAGCTTCCTTTATCTGAGATGATAAATAGAAGGCCATTAGAAATTATTATTCATTCCATAAGATCCCTAGCAATATTGAGATATGAATTTGTCTTTTCTGCTGTCGCCCGACTTCATGCATTTTTGACTAAGCCCATGGAGTGTGTTTGGCACGCATGTGTGTATATTCCCGTAAGACTGACAGGACTCTGCCTAGTAGTGATCGTGATCAAAGCTCAACAGAATTAAAATCTAGTACTTTCTGAAAATTCATGTAAAAACAGTGCTAGTAGCTTACTAGTGTCTTAAAGTATAATAGCTTATTTTCAAATTAAATTGAATTGCAAATATACTTCATCTTACTTAAATGCATACTTTTTAGATTGCTTTTTACTTTATGATTTAAATGAATTTTTGTCAGATGCTTCTTTTATTTTAAAGTGTCCTTACTAAAAACAAAATATCTTCTTTGGCATACCATAGTAAAGGGTAAAGACTGCTTGTGTTCAGAGCCTATGATTTAATAGCTGTATGACCTTGGCCAAGGCACTTTACTTCTCTTTGCCTTCGTTTCCTCATCTAAAATGGGAGCATTAATAAGTACTTTATAGGGTTATTGTGAGGACAGAATGAGTTAAAATAGGGCCTAGCACATAGTAATTTCTGTGTTTGTGATGGTGATAACGAAGATTGTGGTGTTCAGATCAATGACCAGATAAACTTCTGGAGATAGCTGTAATGGGCTACTGAGACATATAGAAGAATGACCAGAAACAGGGTCTTTGTGGGAAGGGGAGGAAACTTTGGGCTTAAAAAAGAGGACACATTAGCTTCCCCAGTATGTCCCCTCTTCTGTGATTTTGCAAACGATGGGATTTAGCTGTTTCCTTTCAGAGCTAAAGAGAAGGTAACTGGAGGGAGCTACTTTAGATGAGTGGGCAGGGGAGCAGTTATTTGATCTGAAGCCTGATGACAAGTGGGTTGGAACTAGATTGTAAAAAATAAAGCCTTATATACTGTGCTGAGGAGGATGGACCTTCCTCTTTAAGCATGAGGGCGTCATTGGTAGTTTTAAAGCAAGGATGTAATATGATTACACTTGTGTTAGAGTGGTGATTCTGTGTGGAGGGCAGAGTGGAATACACTGAGATGGGAATTTTAAAGACTTTTAATAGTCCAAAAGCAATCAAGGACAAGGGAATAATAGAGGGTAGAAACCTTTCTGATCTCTACTGCTGCCCTTCAGCTGGTAATTGAGTGGAAGTATGAAACGAAGAAGACATTCTACAAAAGGTCCTTAGAAGGTATTTAGTCCTTGCCCCTGTTCCCCCTCACCTCAACCACATACACACGCCACACGTGGCTAAATATACTAGCTACCTACGATGCCTACATAACATCCTCCTATGCAAGAATCCTTAATTGAGTCCCTACTATGTGAGGCCTTTGTATTTTTTTCTGATTCTAACTATGGTCTAACTATGGCCTATGGGCCAAATCCAGCCCATTACCTGTTTTTTATAAATCAAGTTTTATTGGAACATAGACATGCTCATTAATTTATGTATTGTCTGTGGCTGATTTCACTTTACAACAGCATAGTTGAGTGGGTGTGATAGAGACCATATGGCCTACAAGCCTGAAATATTTACCGTCTGGCCCTTTACAGAAAATGTTCACCAGTACTTGGTCTAAACTAGCAATTCATGCTAGTGGGAAGGAGAGAAGGAACTTTTGATAGCATCTAAGGAAAGTATGTCTTCAGAGAAATTGCCTTACTAGTAAATGACTGAAATTTTTCCGAAACCAGGATGGTTGTTACCAGTTGTTACTCTTCAGTGGTTATCATCTAAGATGAGGAAGATATAATTAATTAGGGAAAGCTGTGTTGACTGAAAAAAATGCACAACCTGAATGTTCAGAATTATGTTTTATTTGGTGGCCTTACTGAGGACTATAGCCTGTGATACAGCCTCTCAGACAGCTCTGAGAAACTGTTCCAAAGAGGTAAGGGAGGAGCCAGGATATATAGGAGTTTTTGCTGGGAAAAAAAAAAAAATCAGAAGATTACTGCTCATCACAAAAAACAGACATCTCAAGTTAATGATTTTAGCGCCTCTCTATGTTTGGGGAGGTGCAGGAGTCTAGGCTTGTTGCAATTATTCCTTTAATACGCATCTTAACTGTCTAGGGCCAGTATCCTGTTTTTCTCCATCCTGAATTCCCCTCAGGAGCATCCTTGGGTGGGGGTGGCTGCAGTGGCTGATGGCTTGATGGCCGCAACATCCTTGTTTACTGACATGGCAAGCAACGTTTTTTTTTTTTTTGTCCACAGCTGCTTTGGCCATTGGCAGTTTGTCCATTGCCAATCTAAATGAACTGCCTGGTTGTTGGGAGTAGTAACATTTAAATGATATAGGGGTTAAAATATTGGCTTTGCTGACCTAGGTGCAGAAGTACCTGGAATTAGCGAAGCTGGAGAGTTCTACGGCTCCTTGTCACTTAACAGTAAAAAGGAAAGGAAAACCCAGAAAAATATGAAGATGAGATTTACGTTTAAAGAAAGTAGAAGGCTACGGGGACTTCCCTGGTGGCGCAGTGGTTGAGAGTCCTCCTGCCGATGCAGGGGACACGGGTTCGTGCCCTGGTCCGGGAAGATCCCACATGCCGCGGAGCGGCTGGGCCCGTGAGCCATGGCCGCTGAGCCTGCACGTCCGGAGCCTGTGCTCCGCAACGGGAGAGGCCACAACAGTGAGAAGCCCATGTACCACAAAAAAAAAAAAAAAAAAAAAAAAAAAAAAAGTAGAAGGCTAATACTGCAGTAAGTTGCAGGCCTTGAGGCCAGATAATCCTGCAAAAGGAAGGGTTCAGGGATATTAAGGATATACAACTAGAGCCCATGATGCACTAGATTACATACCATTGTATTAGGGACCCAGCCCCTCCATGCTTTCCGCATGTTATTCTGGTAGTTGGTGGATGGTGGGAGGTTTTGTGAATTACATCAGTAGAATTTCAGTTTCTTGCTGTTGAACTAATGACCAAGGGGATAGAATATTGAATTCCCTTCTTTGTTTTGTTTGTTCAAGAACTACAGTAACCCTCTTTAGGTTAAATTGGGTGAGGAATGTGGGGACCCATGTGGGTGTGCATACATGTGTGTGTGCGTATCCTCAGTTTTTAAAACCTCCCTCTCCTTCAGGTTATCCAACCTACAAAGAAAAAGTAAAGAAAAGGCCTGGGGGCCGCCCAGAAGTGATTTACAACTATGTCCAAAGGCCCTTTATTCGAATGTCTTGGGAGAAGGAAGAAGGAAAGAGTCGGCATGTAGACTTTCAGTGCGTAAAGAGTAAATCTATCACCAACCTTGCAGCAGCTGCCGCAGACATTCCCCAGGACCAGCTGGTGGTCATGCACCCAACTCCTCAAGTGGATGAGCTGGATATTCTCCCTATCCATCCCCCTTCTAGCAACAATGACCTCGATCCTGACGCACAGAATCCGATGCTGTGATGGTGATGTTGCTTGAAACCATAGCATGCTACTCTTCGCAGTGACGCTGCACTCTCCTCATCCTGCACTGCAAGGCCACTCTCTGCACTGTGAGATGCACAGATGTTTAGGATATTGCAGTGTAGACTTTTTTAAAGACCAAAGGTAGCTGAATGGTTTTTTAAGTGAGTACAACTCTAGCATCTTGAGGTTCCAGTTATATAAATGTATTTGTTTACCGGTAGGTTTGTGGAATTGGTTCTTTGTATGGGGGACAGTCCTTTTTCACACATCTAGATCTTTTCAGAAGTGGTGGAAATTGGCAGCTGGGGTACTTTCAGTCTAGGTTGATATTCATCACACCCCAGATAAAATGTAGAATATTACATAGTTGCACTTTATATATGGTGGTTAAGTGGAACTGTCCAAGCCATTTTTATAGTTGTGATGCACAATATAATTTAAATAAGTGCTTCTACCAGAGTATTCTTTCAGTGAAATGTGTATAGTTTGCTGCCCATGATGAGCAAAAAATGAGTATCATTGGGCTTATTTGAATGATTAGGATGAGATTCAATGCCCATATCAGTTATCTCCAGTGCCGTTTTCATCCTTTTCAAGTGAGTCACATGCAGGGAGTGTGAACATCAGGTGGTTTATTATCCAGTCTGCCTTACCCTTAATCTGTTCACAGATATTTATTTACTAATGATTTTTTTTGAGTTATGGGATAGGAAGATGAAGTGTTTGCTCTTCATTTACTAAATGATTGTAAACTCGTTTTTCATCAAAATAAAATTCCATTGTTTTAATGTTTCTGATCTTTATAACCACCTTGACCAGATTTTCCATCTCATAATTAGCAGATATCCTGTCTTGTTGGTGTCAGTATAACTAGAAACCAGGTAGCTCAAGGAACTCCAGTTTGGTATATGTGTGATGAGGCACTTATATTCCCCACTAATTATAAAATATAAATCCAAAACATTGTTAGAGCTGAAAAGGGAATATTTTCATTTTCTAGCCCAACCGATAAGAAGGATGAAATACCTTTACTAGGTCCTACAGTAACCTTTACTAGGTCCTACAGTAACCTTAAGTAAGTTTCAGAGCCAAATTCTGACACCGGTTCAGTGTTTTCTCCATTATACTGTGATGTTCTGCCTAGCAAATTTTTCATGAAAATGTTTTTGTTTTGTTTTGTTAATATTCTGTGGCCCAATTCATGAAGAAATCAGAAGTATTTAGGTGCTTTGGGTCCAGGGTCACTTACTGTTTGAAGCCATACAGCTGTGAGTAGTAGAGGAGTTGTACATTAGAGAAGCCAGTCTGTTCTATCTAATCTTGATTTTGTAAAATTTCAGAGGATTTGCAGTTTGTGTTTAAGCAGTAACATCTTTCTTTGCTCTCACAGAAACTGAAATTACAGTATAGCAAAAATACAGTACAGCTAAACTAGTAACAGGGAAATTATGTATGCCCTAGAATTGTTATGAAGGCCAGAAAAGCACTGTAAATGCTTTTGGTGTGGCTCATCCTTAAACACACACCCACCATGGAAAATTGATGATCCAGCCCTGTGGCATTTTTTTCCCTGTAGGATTTTTCTAATTATTTGAAATGTGAACAATATTTATAGAACAAGGGAAACATTTATTAAAAATATTTAACTAATACATTATACTTTAACCCATATTTATAGTAAAGGATTCTTACAAGGAAGAATAAACGGTTTTATGATACAATTAGTATAAGAAATATCCACGTGGGGAACTTCTTTGTAGTGTAAAAACACCATACATCTGAAATGACCATCTGCATATAAAAGCTACCAATGATGCTTCTGTGCACAATGATTGATTAAAAAATTCAACACAAACAGAATCCAAAATATACAATTAATGCAAGCTATCCACAGCTAGCCCAATAATCATCAATGATGAGGAAACACTGGAGCAGGCTTAGTTCCACTTTGTCTGAAGTTACACATAGTAAGATTGACTTGTATCAATGGCTCTGAGATGGCTTTTATGAAGACAGTACATAAAAGCTGTTCTCTCCTTATCCGGTAAGCTTCACAGACTGTATAACTCCATCAGTAATGCACTTTGATACTGTAGCTGTCGCCAAAGCAACATGTAGTGTTTACAGCGGCCATGGCAAGTCGCTAAAGTCAACAGGACCACCGAGCCCAGCATCTGCTTCCAAGAGGCTCATTATGACAGCCATTGCTGCTTCATCATTACTGGGACTGCTTGAGCCTTGATCATTGTCTATCATATCTATGCCTATGTGAGGGTTCTCACCTGTGCAAAGAGATGAAGACTGGTCAGTGATAATACCAAAGCATGTTTAACTTTAGTAAGCGGTTCCTAAGCACACTTTTAATAAGAACGTTATACCTAACAGTAGGGTGAGAAGGATGAGAGAGGCTGCTTTTTTGGGGGGGGTGGGTTGCCATATTTCTTTTTAACGTTGGTGTTTTTCAGAGGGAAGACCCAACTTTTTAAGAAGAAAGTACTTAAAATTCAATGAAGAGTATCAAGTATGAGTTGACCTCATTTTAATATTCTGATATAACCAGTTATAAGGAGAGAATTATTACAGAAGGAACAAAATAGGAAGATAGAGATTAGGGGAAAAAAGATCTAGAAAGCTAAGTAGAGAAAAAGATGGGTGGGGTGGGAGAAGCAAACTCTTCATTGGCTTAATGACTTTTAATACCCTCTGAAATGCTTACTGATGACCCTTTTAGGCTTTATCTGAACCTGCATGGTTCTCCCTCCGAAGAGATTATGTTCCACACATTGGGAGAAAGCCCATGTCCAGGGCGCTGTAGCCTCTTGAGTTCGAGGGACAGACCTGGACCCCAGCGAGAATCCAACCATTAAACTCAACTTTGAAGTAAAGATTTAAACAAATTTTAAACCTTTACTTTGTTCTTATCAAGTTTACCTAGAACTGGTTTGTTTTTCCAGTTCAGTTCTTAAAACTGACTTTATGCCACATGTTTTTTTGCAAGCTCTTTGCATTGGAAGTGAATAATAATGCTACTTACCAAGAATAGAAGAGCTATCAGAATATGGATAACCTGGGTTCTCCTGAGCCTGCCCTGGTAGTAGGCCACTGGAAGGAATGTCTGGAGTCCCTCCATTTAAAATCTACAAACAAAAGTAAAGTTTTGTCATCAGCAGCAGTTTCAATCAGTATTTTATGCAGTGTCACCAAGAAAATGAAGCATGTTGAAAAGAGGAAGGTGGGGAGAAAAAGCTTCAAATGGCTTCAGTTTCTTATCGGATGATTTCACAGCAGAGACTCTTAGGAATGGTCACAGTAAGGAAAAAACCTCTCCCCCAGACTAGTCTTCTCTTTATTGGATTCAGCCCACACAGGCAATTTAAAGGCTGAATAAAATCCCTAGAGCATTCACATGTTTAAGGCCAAGGACTAAACCTCAGGGAGCCCAGCTGGGCAGGTCCCCTGTAAGGGAGGAAAACTTCTTACAGCAACAGATGTTGCTGAAGAAGAAAGGGCTGTTACACTGTGAAGAGACACAGCTCTGAGGAGTCGCAAATGAACAACAAAACACTAGAATAAATCATCACTATAGTTATACCACAGATGCCAACATTAGTAACCACCGGTTTAAGTTCTTAAGAGAGGCTACTGAGAAGTATTATTACCACTCCTCAGTAGCAGAACTCTGTCTCCCCCAACTCCCCACCCCCCATGACTGAGTCTCATAGAAAAGCACCTTTGAGAAGTATTTGGATGTAGGTGCGGAAACAGTTTGGTAGAAGCTGGGATTTCAGGAGAGGCAGTGATTTCAGGCCTTGCCAGTAGATGGCATTACAACCTTATCTCCGCAATTCAACTTTTTGAAGAGACTCTCAAAAAGACTTTACACTCTAAGAATTATTGAGGACTCCAAAGAGCTTTTGTTTATACAGGCTATATTTGTCAATACTTACTATATGTGAAGTTAAAGCTAATACATTAAAAAATATAATAAAACTATTACACATTAACATGAATAGCATTTTAATGAAAAAGAACTATTTTCAAAAATAACGAAAAGTTAGAAGTGTCATTTTACATTTTTTGCAAATCGAATGTCTGGCTTAACAATTTAACTAGATTCTCATTTGCTTCTCCATTCAGTTTGTTTAGGTATGTTGTTTGAAATACATATCTGAAGGAACTCTGGCCTCTCATAGATAGGCAGTTAGAAAAGGGAGGTATATTTTAACAGCCTTTTCAAATAATCGTGGTATTCTTTGATATTACATCAAAACTCAGCAAGCTGAAGTTTCTTAAAGATTAGTTGCAATGTGGAGTTTGAAACCATATCAATGAAATTTTGATACTCTTATGTTGAAATCCATTGGTGTATCTAGGCAATTAGGATGGATCTTTTTTACCTTTGCATGATTTTGAAATATCTTACATCAGTCATTTGGAAAATACTGGTTCACTGAGTTACGTGGATCTTCCAAATGTGGACACACTTCATTGTACAACATCAAAACATCACCACTGTTAATATTACCTACATCAGAAATATCTTAAGTTTTGGGAAGCAGTCAAGCTCAAAGTAGCAGACACAAGTTTTCCCCAAAATTCTAATTTTTGCCTGAAAGCTAAAATTTTATCACTGTCAGTTGTTTTCTTTGAAGTCGCAGGTTCATTCATTTTCAAGAAAATGTACACTAAATACCCAAGTCTGAAAAACCATAGTTTGCGACAGTAAAAATGGTTTCCTATGAAAAAGGTGATTGGGTTCGGTTTATAACAAACAGTCGCACAAGTGCTTTTCCTTGAGACAACATCCTACTTTGTGTGCAGCACAAGTGCTTTATGCACACTTCCCATTTTGTAACAGTTTTAAAAAGATTTACTCAAGGATTTTATAAAATTATTTCACTGCTTTATTAAGGACATTCTTAAATGAAGCTGGCTTTTAAATTTATTATTTTATTGTGAGTATATGGTGGTGAAATACACTGTCAGTACATTCTGGTGCCACAGGCTTGATTTTTGTAAAAGCACCAGCAGTCTTACCCAACATTGCTTTTTCACTATCAGTTCACATATCAACACAGTGAGAAAAAGCTGTTTAGCATTATTATGAAAATACATTTGACCATGCAGACCCCTGAAAAGATGCCCTCTCCCTAACCCCACCAAAAGACCACAGATGACATTTAGGGAACTGCTGCTTTATCTCACCCTGCCTTGGTACTTCTGGATGTCCAGAGTCTCCTGGAACCTATGAGGCTCACTAAGCCTCCTCTTTTTATTATATTTAGGCAGGCTAAATGGCTCATTTTTGGACCTGCCAATTTTGAAAGTGACTGGGAAGGGTTGGAAGCCTGCGGCCACCTTTACTTTTGTGGCTTTGGTACACTATTTAATGCTGTCATTTTTAACTCCATCTTGTTTAGATGCCTTTCTTATAAGGTCCTGCTGCTGATGACTCAGAATACATTCAGAATTTCTTCTCAGACCCACTTTCATAAGCCCAAAGAAAACATTTTTCAAAAATGCCTCAAAAATACTTGGGGCTTTGTGATGCAGAGTATACTTTTAGATCTCTGGCATTTGTTGGTGTGAAAAGAATCAGAAGTCAAGAGACCTGAATTTAGTTTGGGGCCATACTTACTAAATTCTGGGCTAGTCATGTAACATTTGGTAGCCTGGATTTTGTCACCTATGAGGTTGTGAGGATAGATGAGAGATTGTATATGGAAGTTCCCTGAGTAATATTTAAGCACTGAACTGGAGTGATGACCTTCCAAAATAGAGTAGGGGGATTCTTGGTACCAGGAAATCAAGTGCCTAAAAGTTGAACTGAGACACAAAGAAGGGGATACCGTGCTAGGGAGATGGTAGATCCAGTATGGAGGAAGGACCTAGCGGTGTAACAGAACAGAGCTAAGAGCTCAGCCTGCGAGCAGGGGGGAGGGGTGTACCCAGCCCAGACTTCATCTGTCAGTACTATCTTCTGAGTCATTACCGAAGGCCAGGCACTTTCACATATATACTTTCATAAGAGGACTTCATGTGCAAAGATGCTGGCTGCCCTAACCTATGTTAGCCGCATTATAGAGAAATCTAAGGCTTAAAAAATTGTATAGGGCCACATAGCCAGCACATGGCAAGGCTAGGCTTCAAACCCAGACCCATTAATTTATTGGCTTTCAAACCTTTTTGGGGGAAGCAAAACCTTTTTTCAAATAAACACTTTTACAGAAGAGTCATTTTTCAGAAGTAAAGCTTCCCTAGAAGCAGGAGTCTTCCTACCTTGTCTTCCTCATCACCTGCCCCTCGCCCCAATCCTACCTGGCAGCACCACAGCTCCTGGTAACCTGAGTCTCTGAGGAGCCCAGTTTTGGAAACCCATGTCCTGCTTTTGATACAGTTTGTGCCCTATGTAAATTACTCATATTCTTTCTCTGTGTACATGTCTTAGGAGATAGGGGAAGGAAGACTATGTCTCAAGATGCTGGCCTTTGCAGCAGCCTAACCTATGTTAACATCAGACACTATAGATTTATGATTTACAATCAACATTGGCCTAGGCTTGTAAATTCTCTCATCAGCACTAAAGATGAAAACAGATTATTGGTTTCTAAGACTATAATATAGTCTTCTGGCCAGTTCTTCATGAGGGCTGGCGACTGATAAACTACTTGTACTCAATGCTGTCCCATCGTAGGAAACCCAGGCAGATACCTAAGTATTCTGCAACTGCAAAGGCATGACTTGCCTTCCGAAGGACTGCTGGTGGTATCACTGTTTCCAGGACCTGCACTAGACACTAACAGTATTTTCTCCCTTGAAAACTCCTGGCAGAGAACTAGACAGTTTTAGGTACTCACTAACCCTTCCCTCACGGGAGCTCTTGAATTCCTCCCTCCATACAATGGACTGATAGCTCCCCAATCCTTAGAAAGATCTCTTTCTGCCTTCCCCCACTCACATGGGATAAATCCTCTAACAATGTCAGCAAGGCTCCCTAGCTCCACTGGTATGCTTTGTACCTCACCTAACACAGATGCATTTACTTCAAGGAGGAAAAAAGGGCCCTACCTGTTTCAGCAACCACAGTTATATACTCCCACTTCCAGTATTTCAGAACTTGGGCAAGAGCTCTCTGGATGAAGAAGGGCCTTAGTCTAAGAGTCATCAGCCCTACCTTCTTGCCTCCTGGAGAAGAGGCATCAGGGGGAGGTGTACTTGTGATGTTCAGTGGGCTGGAGCCACAGCTGGAAGGCGATGACCCTCTTATCCTGTCAGAGAAAAGAGGAGTTAGTTACATTGCCTTTCCTTTTTTTCATTGGAGTGTGTGTGTTTTGTTGAGGGATGGGGGTGAGAAGAAGGATGAAGATCTAGAATAGGGATTGGCAAACTTTCTGTAAAGGGCTAGAGAGTGATTATTTTAGGCTCTGTAGGCCATGTGGTCTCTCACGACTGAACTCTGCCACTGTAGCCTGAAAGCAGCCATAGATGATATGCAAGTGAATGGATATAGCTGTGTTCCAATAAAACTTTATTTATAGGTGATAAGCTGGATATATCCCATAGGCACCTGATCTAGAACACAGATCCTGGAGGCAAGCTTCTCACTGACAAAGCCCTTGGATTAGGGTTTGGATTTCAGGTTTGTGAATTTCAAGTAGGTGGCCAGTTTCATTTGCTCACAGAATCCAGATCTCAGAGTTGGTGGCATTCTATCTTTGATACAGTGAACTAGAATCCACAGCAGATGACTTATTCTCTACCCTACAAACACTGCTTAGCTAGCGACTACTCAGGAAATGGAGGGTGCTGCAGTGGTTTCAGCCCCACCTAGAAAGTGGCCTCAAGTGAGCAGTCGCCATTGTCATCTTCTAAGGCAACAGGTGATGAAAATGGGTCCAAGCCTTCCTCAGCTAGCTTATTTCTCAGCATAGTAGGTTTACAGAGGGAAAGACTTAGAGCTGTAAATCCACATAAACTCTTGTCAAGCTGAAGGACCTCAGCAAAGGAAGCCATGACCTGGCACCGCAGCTAGAGTTTAGGGAAACTTGAATGGCAGCTGCGTGACCACCAGGCTCTTAGCACCTACATGGATGATTGCAGCTTCTGGGTCTCCCAGGGACCCCTCCACTGCCTGGCAGTCTTAGCTTTTGGCCTGTACTGCCTAATTCTGTAATTTGTGAGTAAACAAGCTCTCTCTCTCTTTCTCTCCTGGATCATAGGCTTCTGAAAGGCGGGATACAACTAAATACCAGGTGTTCTTCACCCACACAGATGACTACTAATTGCTTACTGAAAAATTGTTGAATGTCTCCCATTTTTCCCTACCTACATCTACGGAACCACTGTTTCCCCAGCTTCCCTATCTTAGAATTGCCTTTTCGTAGTTACTTATTTCATTTTCAATATCTAGTCCTTAAATTACTGATTTCTCTTTTGGACACTACTATCACTGTAAGGTCGGCCTCATTCCTGGTTTGTTAAGCATGCTTACCTTCATCTCTTCCTATTCCAATCCAACTTCCACGATGCTTATTTTTTTTGTTTTTTTGGGGTGTTTTTTGGCTGTGCCCCACGGCATGTGGCATCTTAGTTCCCCAACCAGCGATCGAACCCACACCCCCTGCACTGGAAGCGCGGAGTCATCACCATTGGACCACCAAGGAAGTTCCCAGCCTCCACGATGCTATTAACACACCACTTTGGACACCTGCTCAGCATCCTACAATGCACAGGGTCTTCCAATTTTCATCCAGTCTCAACTGTTCAACATCATTTCTTAGAACTCTTAGCAATCTCCCATCACAGCTCTGTGGTTCCTTTCTACAAAGAGGCTGCCAAGGTAGATGGCCTGCTTTTTGTGTCCTGAATACACCACTCACACGCCCATTCCAGCGTGTGCCTGTCTCTTCTAGAAGGAACACCCAACATTCATCATAAAACCCAGCTAAGGCCAAGTTCAAACCGTCCTCCCTTGCTTGCTTCAGCCCATGCACTCTCCGTTTTTTCTTTTATCATAAAGAAAACAGGCTTCGCAAAGATTGTAAGACCTTTGCGTTCAAGGACTGTCTTATACTGTCCTTGGATGGTCTCGAGCAAAGCACAGGGTATGCCGGGACTGATCAGCACCAGATTATCAGTGCACACTGCACCCACACCTTCCTGAAGTATCTTCAAACAGCCACATCCGTCATTCCTGAAGGGCTGGAACAGAACTGTGCTGTTCTGTTATCCCACTGGGATAAGAGCCCCACTGTGGCCAATTAGAAAACAAGGCCAGCCTCCAAGTCTCCTGAGAGAATCAATCCAGTGGCAGCAGGGATCCTATGATTATGTTCCATTAAGTTTGTATGCCTGAGGACCTGGTTACCACCCTCTCCATTGCCCAAATTCAAATGGACTTATAATTACTGCTTCCCTCTCAATGACTGTAAAGACTTAATTAACAATTTTTGAACACTCGCTACATGTCAGTTCTAGGAACTTTCCTGAGTTCTTTCACAATCCTAGGGCAATTTCAGGGAGATAGATATTGCCTCCCTTTTATGGCTGAAGTCAACAGAGTCCAATAAGTTAAATGAATCTCCTAAGCAGAGGCCTAGGACTCAACCCCGATAAACTGCTTCAGAGCTTCTTCTCTTTCATATGGAACAGGAGTTCCGCCCAAGGGAGCTTCTTTTACTAGCTGATTTGCTTGGTCTCTATTACTAACCCTAGGCAACTTTTTGACTGGAAGAAGCTAATGTTTTGTTAAGGCCCAGATCAAGGCAGTTCACAGCTCTGCTCCTGCAGTCCTGTAATGTTAGTGTTCATCTACCAACTGGGAAGCTCCTTGGGTCATATACAAAGTAATGAGAAAGTTGAGCCTCCCAGAGTTCCATTTAGCTCTGGCCTGTTTGGGTTTAGCTTCCTTATTTAAAGGCAGGATTTCTCAGTCTCGACACTACTGACATTTTGGACTGAAAAATTCTTCCTTAGGGGTCAGGGCTTGGGAGGGCTTCCTGTGACGGTAGATGTTTAGCAAGCAGCATCCCTGGTCTCTATCCACTGGATGTTTAGCAACAACCTCCCACTCAGTTGTGACAACCGAAAATGTCTCCAGACATCAACAAAACATCCCTTGGGGGGCAAAGTGCCCTGGGGTTGAGAACACTGGTTTAAGGGAACAACTAGGTGTTACTTGCCTGTGGATTTCCATGATTTCCTCAGCAATCATTCGACCTATTTTTCCTGCCCCAGCCCTGGTTCCCCCTGGAATCCCTGGAACAGTGGGGTGGGTCCTCTTTGGGCCACCTACAACAGAGGAATCTGAGAGTGGGAAAGGGGAAGAAAGCAGAGGGAGAAATGCTATTATGTGTTAAATTAAATCCACTTCATCCCATGATCCACTTGAAGTTCAAGCTTAGGGTTGTGCCCTGAGGGACATGAGAGCCACAGCTTGTCAGGAAAAGGCATTCCGGCAGGGAAAAGCTCAGGTTTCCTTCCAGGATCAGAGATGTTGATATTAAAGCTTCTAATTCCTCATGCACTCAACATATGCTGGCCGAAAGCCACTGGGCTGCACACCAGAATCACAGAGATAAGTCGGCATCCCTGCCCTCAAGGAGCTCACAGTCTAATGGGGAGACACACAAGATAAACAATGGCTAGAACAAACTGCGATAAGTTTTACAGGTCAGCAAGAAGCACCCAACTCATGCAGGGCCAGGTGCAACCTCCTGGAAGAAATGAACTCTGAGCTCAGTCTTGAGAGAGGAGCATAAAGTAGGTTGGCAGAGAGGTAAGGAGGGGAAAGCACTCCAGGCACAGCAACCAGTGTATGCAAGAGCACTGAGGCAGGACACAACTTGGGAGACTACGCCAAGAAACTCATTACAAATGAGGATGGAGGAGTGACAGATGAAACTGAGAGGCAGGTACCAGTCAGACCGTGAAGGGCCTTGGATGCCACACTAACAGATTTGAACAGTATCCACAGGGGATAAGGGGCACCGAAGTGCTTGACACAGAAAAACACAAGTTCACCGTGTGGAGAATGAACCGCAGTGGAGGACGCGGGCGCAGAGGAGGGCAGGGCGACTAGAGTTGGGCAGTTATCTGCAGGAAGCCAAGCAACAGATGGGGAGGGTGAGGTAGCAATAGTGGGGTTGGAGAGGTTTAAAGAGAAGGGACAGGAGTGTGTGTTTTGATATAATGGGAGAGGTAGGAGTCACGGTTTCTGGCTTAACCGACCAGACTGTGGGTGAGGGTGTGTGCAGAGAACCCATCTGGATGTGCGGAGTTACAGGTGCCTGTGGGACTCCAGGTGGCTTCGCCCAGGAGGCCGCCGGAAAGGCAGATCTGGAGCTCAGGAATGAAACCGGATGTAGGATTCATCGATGCAGAGGCAGGGGCTGAAGCCATGCAAGAAGAGGCCTGAGGAAGCAGGAGTCAGGTGCGGAGCGCAGCGGCCAAGGCCGAGCCGGGGGAGGGCCCCGCCGGGTACAGCACACCCCGGTGCTGACAGACACCCTCCTCCCACCACGGGATCCCGGCAGCCATCCCCGAGAGCACTTCACATCGCAGCCGCTGGGAAGCCAGGGGGAGGAGAGCACAGGCAGCAGGAGCTGCCCTGTCAAGGCTTCCGGGGTCCAGGCAGCCTCGGCAAAGGTACAAACAAGTTCCCGGCATTCCAGGCTCAACAAAGTAAGATGACAGCGTCCTCAGTGATCATCCCCGCGAGGCCTCCCTTGTTCCACAGAAGATGGTGGCCGGGGACCCCAAATACCAGGGGCTCAGGGATGGGGGCCACGAGCAGCTTCTCAGGGGCAAGCCCAGACGTCCCGGCGGCACATAGTTACCTTCTCCAGAGGGCAGCGTGCTGTCCATGCTGCGGGGGGATGCTGTGGGCTGAGGGAAGCTTGGGTCCCCGCCTTCCAGGACGTTGGCTCTGTGAACATCCCAGCAACAAGGAAACGTGAGTCAGGCCTGCTCAGAACTGTGCACCTTTCACCTTGGCCAAGGTGTACGGTGTCCACTCTGGACCTGGACAGGCCACGAAATGAAGTGTCTGAGCGGCTCACAGGTCTCTCACTGTCTGAGGACACGATGGACAGCACCCCGGCCTCTGGCCTCCCTGGTGCAGGTGGGGCGCAGTCCAGCGGAGGTGGCGACTGAAGCAGCCCACTGCTGGCCCCAGCCCCTTGATCGGCTCTGCCTACAGGTCGGGGGTTTGGACCTCATGGGGAAGGAGATGTGGGGAGCAGGCCAAAGAGGAGGGCCTTCCCTTCCCTGCTCACCCAGCAGGTGGCAGCCTTTGAGGGGGCATTCCAGGGGCTCAGGCCGCCGCCCGGGGGCGCAGATCCTCGCCCCTCCTCAGCCAAAGCCAGTATGGGCTGGTGAGCCTCTCAAGGATTACCAAGCCTTCCCTCCATAGTGATACCAGTGGATGCCAGGCCTGCGGAACGCAAAGGCTCTACCGGGTAGGAAACGCTGCTGTCTCCGGCAGCAATTCCACCAGCCGGGGCCTCAGAGGTATGAGTACTGAAGCTCACCCCTCGTTAACCACCTTTTGGCTTCCGCCAGTCCCAAGGCTTCACAGGATATCAGCAAGACGGCAGTAAAGGATGCAATACTGGCTGTCACCTGTACCCCCTTTCCCAGGTAAGGGGCCCAAGGCATTTCCCTGTGAAGCAAGGGAGTTTCTGATATACGAAAAACACTTACAAAACAACGGTGTTGGTGGAGACAATGTATTCTACTTCCTTGGTCCAAGGGTTCATGAAACTGAACCACCGACTCCGTAGTGTGATGAAAGAACCATCTTTGATTTTAAACTTATAGCAATTAGTTGTAATCTTTTCTCTTGTCTGTAAAACTGAAAATACAAAGAGACCATGAACATCATTGTTTCCTCAGACAAATGCATTAAACTAACCAAATCCTAAGTGCGCTCGGGCTCCGAGGCCGTCTCTCCTTAATGAGCCATGGGAGCTGGCGCTTCAGAGAACAGGCTGTTTCTGAGGGTCTGACTCTGAGCCTTCCAACCTGCCACTGTTCTTCAGAGTGTATGAAATGAAGGCTCTGGGAATAACTGACTGCATTCTAGACATCTAACTGGAATCAGCTATGAAGTAAACACCACACAACGAGAAGGCACTGTCCAAAGGGCCCATGTTATTTCCCCATCACAAAGCCTGAAGGCAGTACAGCATTTTTAGGACATTTGGATTCAGAGAGGTCACTCACCTATGGAAACCTCATTCTTTCATGTAACAAACATGTAATGAGCATCTTTCATGTGCCAGGCACTGGAGGTAAAAGAGGAGACAGGATGTGACTCCTGCCCTCAGGAGAGGCAGAGGAGATCAGTCTTGAGGGATGAATACAAGTCTGCCAAGGGGAGAGAGGGAAGAACCCAGCACTGCCCGAGGAGTGGCAGGGCCTGGTAGGGCAGGGAATGGAGAGATGGTCAGTGTGGCTGGAGCACAGGCCTCTGCAGGCGGAGATGGGGGCAGGGGTAAAGCGGGGGAGGTGGGTCAGGGCCAGAAGGTGGAGGGCCTTTTGAATGCCTGTCAAGGGTGATTGGGCTTGAGTCTAAAGGCAGGAGGTTTTAAGCATGGATGTGACATTACCAGGCTCGATCTATCAGAGCATAAATGGGATAGTGACGGAAGATGGACTGCGGACAGAAGCGAGTGGGGAGGCCTGTTAGGAGTCCGTCACAATTATCAGGTGGGTACAAGGGCTGAACCAGGGTCTTGGCAGTGGAGGTGGCAGAAAGGGGCCTCTTTGGAAATGCATGTCTGAGGTGAATGAACAGTTCTGATGGAGGAAAAAGTAAAGGAGGGAGTCGATGTTGGTTTCCATCTCAGGAGGCTACACATTTGGCCATGCCATTAATCAAGAGGGAAATGTAGGAGGCGATGCAGGGTTTTGCGGAAAAGAATTGGATCCGTTTGGGCCATACGAAACCTTTGTAGGGTCCAGATAAATCCTCTGAACAAGAGATGCCTTCCGGAAATTGCCCTGGCCCAAGTATAGAAATCTGCTAGGCAGTGGGGTAGGGGGTTATCCGTAAGGGGCTAGATGGGGCTGGGCGAAGCAGAAGCCTCCTCTCCTCACAGATGTCTTGGCCTGAAGACTCCTGGGCTGGTTGACTCCCACGTCACAGAGGCAGATTTCTCTGTGAGGTTACGTGGACTAGTCTAGAAGCAGGGGGGGCACTTTAAACTTAAGACCTGTTGTACAACCCAGCTTACCTTGCCTATGACATTCTGCGAGATGTCCTATGTCATCTTGGTGAAAATATTCATAACATGAGGTGCCTAGAAGTTCTTGTGGTAAATATGCCAAAATAGCTGTTGCCCTAAAAGGGAATTTTTTTTAAAAAAAGAAAAAGCCATTCAGACGATTAACAGCATCTCTGCACCAGCTGAATCCCGCTACAGCCAGTGAAAACAAGGTCAAAGCCGGGTGGGTTCAGAGGGCTTACTACATGGGTTTTGTTTTTTTCTCATGAAACTGACTTTAATCAGGGCTATAAAAACAGAGGGAGGGCTTCCCTGGTGGCGCAGTGGTTGAGAGTCCGCCTGCCGATGCAGGGGACGCGGGTTCGTGCCCCGGTCTGGGAAGATCCCACATGCCGCAGAGCGGCTGGGCCCGTGAGCCATGGCCGCTGAGCCTGCGCGTCCGGAGCCTGTGCTCCGCAACGGGAGAGGCCACAACAGTGAGAGGCCCCACGTACCGCAAAAAAAAAAAAAACAGAGGGAAAGAAAGCAAAGAATCCTTTCAAAGGGGCTGTTAGCACAAGATATCAAATTTTAGGAGGTTTAAAAGTAGTAACTGTATTAGATAAAAATGTGGTCGAACTCTAAACTCCAGGGCAAAGCTTCTCCAATTTACCGGCTGCTTTTTAGCAGGATGACCAAACACCAGACGCTCCAGCAGCGGGGCCCACAAGGACCTTGAGAGGTGGCCGCCTCCTTTTCCAGTATTTAGTGACTATTATCTAATAGCCAGAAAAATTACTACCCTGTGAATACTCTTAAGGAGGCAGCAGAGAACAGTGGAAATTTGGGGACATCTGGGTTCTTAGCCCAGGTCTACTGCCGATGGGTTGTGAATTCTGGAGAAGGCCAGGCTTCAGGCTGAGTCTCAGTTCAACCACCATAAAAAATGAGACTGGACTAGATCAGTGTTGTCCAGAAGAACTTTCTGAGAAGACAGAAATGTTCTACCTATGTGGGAATAGAATCTAAAAAAGAGTGGATATATGTATATGTATAACTGATTCACTTTGCTGTACTGTAGAAACTAACACAACATTGTAAGTCAACTATACTCCAATAAAAATTAATTAAAAAAAAAAGAAATGTTCTGCATGGATACCATTAGACACATGTGTCTGCTAAGTACTTGAAATGTAGCTAGTGAGCCTGAGGAATTGAATTTTTAATTTAATTTAAATTGATTAAATTAAAATTAAATTGCCATATGGGGTTACTATAGCAGATGACTGACTGTATTGACAGCTCAGGACTAATCTTTTCCGAGTCCCACATGCCAGAATTTCAGTCACAGTAATTAATGGTCCTGGAACCTTCCATGGATTCAGATAGCATACTATGCCTACTATTTCTCTTTTAGCCATGGACATCAAACCACCCCACTTCATTGTCTCTACATGCCAAAGAATGACATGGAGAAAAATCTCTGTATTTATGATGATAACCCACTGGGTCTCATTGTTCATCAGATACACCCATCATTTCCTTCTCTCTATCCCTAAGAAAGACAGCCGATGGCCCAGTCTTCTCTGCTTTACTCATTGTTCTACCATCATTGTTCAAGTGTAATGTGCAGACTCTTACCTCTGGTCTACAAAAACAAACTTCCCATCTATTGCATGCCGAGAGACATATTCCATAGATTTCACCCTGATTTCCCCGTTCGCCGGTTGTGGAACCATGTGAGAGTGCAGTCGTCCGATGGCGACAAGGCAGCTGAGATTACACCCCTCGTTGTCTGGTTCGTTGTCTTCGTCTAGCCCCATTTTTGTGGGCGGCCAACTTTTCAAATAGCCTGTGCTGTGGATTGTGCAGAAGCTTTTTCGATCTGCTAGAAAGCAAAGTCCATGGTCAATGTCAGTGTGGCTTTGGGGCCTGGGGGCACAGGCAGCCTAGTCGGGGGATGTAGGTAGGGAATCAAAATATAAAAACCAAAGCCTTACTGTCCAGAAGTTAGCATCTAGTGAGAGAGAAGACAGAAAAAACAGGTATCATCCAGTGTCACATACGCCTTGTAGAGCTGGTTACAGCAAAAGGGCATCACATGCACCAAGGAAGCAGGAGCTAAATCTCCCTGGGGAGAAGCAGGCCGCCCCGAAGAACTACGAAGGAGGTGGATCAAGAAGGATGAGCACTGGGTAAGGGACCAGAATCTGTAAAGGTCTGAGAACATACAAAGGCACAGAGAGGCATCCTGTACAGGAGACAGCAAAAAGCTCCGTGTGGTCGAAGGGAAAAGGGAGGCGCTGGGGGTGGAGTTGGAAGGGCAGGCTGGGAGCATATCGTCGGAGCCTTGGATTATTTGCTCACAAATGTGTTAACCTTTTCCAGGTAGGAAATGGAGAGCTTCTGAAGGTGTTTAAGTGGGGAAACAGCAAAATCACATCGTGATTTGGATGTTCTAGGAGCAGAGTGTTGGGTGAACTGGAAGACATGCACGAGATGCTGAGGACTGTACCATGGCAGTGCCGTGAAGATGAGGCAGGGCAGGACACAGGAGAAATTTCTGAGCTTGAACTGCTGGGATTTGGTATGAGTACCAAAATATTTGGTATGAAAAAAGAAAATAAAGATGACTCCAACTTTTTCAGATTGAGTGGTTAGCTGGTATTATACAATTTATTGACTCAGGGCAGAGAATACAGAGTAAGTTTTAGAGGAGGGGGAGAAAAGATTTCAATTTGGGACACATTAAGTGTGGAGCACCTGTGGATTCCAGCAGTAACACATCCTTATGGAATAGTTTACCAAGCATCAGGTCTGTGCTAGTTACTGGGAAACAGTGGAAAACAAATCAGACCTGCCTTTGTGGAATTCACAGTCTAATGGGGGAGAGATATTTTAAACAAATAACTACATAACTGCAACTGTAAGCAAGTGTTAGAAAGAAAACCTACAGGGTGCTACAAGCAGACATAAGGCAGCCTGAGGGAGGGAGGGAGTGACAGACATTGAGGTCCACTCTAAAGGACGAGCTCGAGTGAGTCAGGGAGGGGAGCTGGTGGCGAGAGAGGGGCATTCCCGTCAGAGGTGACAGAGCATACGGAGACTTTGGGTAGAAAGGGTTTGGAGGCATCAAAAGGAGGTCAGCAAGTCTCAAACGTATGGAGTAGTGTCAGGGGCAGAGGTTTGCAAAGTCACATGAAGGATTTTAAACTTTTCTTCAAGAGCAGCGGGAACCACTGATGGGTTTAAAACGGGGCTGATACGAAGATTTGCTTTTTTTCTTCTTCTATTTTTTGGCCACGCATGCGGGAGTTCCCCAACTAGGGATCGAACCTGCACCCCCTGCAATGGAAGCGTGGCGTCTTAACCACTGGACAGCCAGAGAAGTCCCAAGATTTGCTTTTAGAAAGGTCACTCTGGCCACGTGAGGGGCTGGAAAGCGTGAGGAGCCTGCTTCACCAGGCCTGTGAGATCCAGGGTAGCCTCCATCTAGCGACAGTAACAGTAAACATGGAGGTGGGTAAACATACTTCAGATAACTTCTGCAGGGGCAATTCATGGCAGCAAGACATTATAACTGACTAGATCAGGAGGGAGGGAAAGGGGGTGAGGGTGCCCCCCAGGCTTCTAGCACGCACAGCTAGATGGACAGTAGTGCCATTTACCTTCGAGGGGAAGCTCAGGTGGTTACTTCTACATATATCACGTTTGAGATGCCCTTGAGATGTCCAAGCAGGTAGATTAAATAAGCAGTTAATTTACAAATCTGGAGTTCAAAAGAGAAGTGCAGGCTAGACATATGAACTTGGAAGTTAGTGGCATATAAATGTCATTGAAAGCTAAGGGGGCAGATGACATTACCTATGGATGAGTATATATATACTCTTAAGAGAAGAAGGCTGGGGACAGAAGAGGAGGAAGCAACAAAAGGAACCCGGAAGAAAGCCCGGAGTGGGAGAGGACAGGAAGAAAAACACTTCACAATGGAAGAAAAATGAGAAGTGTCCACTGCACTTAGCCACCTGCAGGCACTGGTGAACTTAGAATAATTCTGGTGGGCTCGTGGGTGCTGGGGAGGCAGGGGGCTGTGACTTAGAGAGTATTCTTTCCCAACCACAGGAAAACAAACAGGACTTAAACAGAGGGAGCCTTCCCACAAACCTGTGTCATCGTGACACCATCAGGGCCTTCCAGCTCCCCCCCCACCGCTCCCCAACCGCCCCCATTGAAGGGGGGCTAGTGAGGTCCTGGCTGCAATCCTGGGACCCGCTGCTCTGAGCCCACCCCCTGCTGAGCGCTCCACCTGTGATAGGATTTAAAGAACTGTTAAGTGGTTACCTTTTTTCTTTGAGCAGGTGGAGGGGAAATCCTTGTCTTCAACCTTTACGGAAGGCCTGTTACACTTCATCCTACAGAAGAAAGAACGCCGTGCTCCAGAACATAATCGAGATGGCCCAGGGGTTATATCTGTTTTAACTGGAAGTCCAGCTGCAAATCAATACACAAAATGTGATAAACTGAGGGTAGTGTTGTCTGTCAGGAGGGGGAGTGTGCCCTTGAAGAAAGTCTTTTCTTTCCTGCCTTGCTGTTCTGTAACAATGACGTGACAATAACCCTTCTCCTCAGTCTAGGCCTTAACAGATGCTGTATGGACAGGGGCGCTGTCAACCCGGAATGCTTACAGATCACAAAGAATGCAGCGACTGATGAACGGACTAGGTGCTCCAGGGAATAAAGAAATACACACAGGGTTCCTGTCCAGCAGGAGTGGACGGCTGAGAAGGGGAGATGGAAGTTCACCAGGAAAAGACTAATGATAACACAACGTGACGTATGAGTGATCAGTGCCAAGTAAATGGCAGAAACAATCGGTGTTTCCCAGAGGCAGAAGCAGGTGGGCTGGGACTTGGAGGATGGGCAAGACCTGGATACTGGAATGGAAAGGAGGCAGCAGGACTGCCTTAAGTTCTCAACCCTGGCTGGATGCCAGAACCGCCGGATGCTTCATCAACCTGCAGATTCTGGGACCCCATTCTAGATCTGTGCTTCCCAGTGTGGTAGCCACTAGCTACGACGCAGCTATTGAGAAGATGAAATTGGAGGTGTGCTGTACGTGTGAATGAAAACAGGATTTCAAAGACTTAGTACCAGAAAAAATGTAAAAGACCTCATTTTGGATTTAGTGTTAAATAAAATACAGTATTAAAGATAATTCTGCATTTATTTTCACTTTTTTAAACGTAGCTACCAGAAAATTTTAAATCATGTAAATTTCACATATAAACTAGCTCATATCTGTGGTCTGAATTATGGTTCGGCCCAACTGAATTAGAGTCTCTGGAGAAAAAGCATGACTGTGATCCTGATAGAAACATGGGCTACTTGTCGGTGCAGAAGCCGGGGCTGCAGATCACGTCTGGGGGGAACAAGCGCCCACTGCCCACCGCGGGAGCAGCCATCACAGGAATGGCTACTGCCGGGGGCTCCTCCTGGGTCTCCCTGCTCTCACCTACCTCCCGCACTGCTGCCTCAGTGATCCTCCCCGAATGCCAATCCGAGCCCGCCCCGCCTGGTTCACAGCCCTTCACTGTGTCCCCACAGATGAAAAGGTCTTCGTGGTCCAGCCCTCTCCCTCCCCTGCATGTTCTGTTCCAGCAGCACCGGCAGCCCACAGCACCGCACGTCTGCACCCGTCCACAAATCATTTCTTCTGCTCCTTTCCTCCCTTCATCATTTGGCAAACACTAATTCATCTTTTCAAACCCACCTGGAGCTGTCACCTGCTCCGTGATGCCTGTACCCACGCCCACGTGAGAATTAATCATCGTTCTCTATGCCTGGCACTACATCTATGGCTGCACCCATTATGAATGGCGCTGTCTCCTTGTCTCCCTGACTACATGGTAAGAGCTTTAGAGGCAAGGACCAAACAGCATTCATCTTTCTCTTCTGAGGTCACTAAAAAAATTGCAGGACCCTACTATAAAGGGCAACAGGTACCAGGGACTGCATTGTACTTACAGGAAGAAGAGGAGTGCCTTAGTGAAAAGGATGATTTAAAGGAGATTCTTCTGGTGGTTATTTCCTTCCAGAGATTACAATGGAGAGCTTGGAAGCAAGAAACTAGTTAGGCTATGATGGCACTGGGCCAAGGTGAATATACCATGTTGTGCTTACTCTGTGCTGGAAACTATGTACTCCGTTATTAGCATATTAAATCCTCACAACTTGATGAAATAGGTAACATTTTGCAGATAAAGAAGCTGAGGCACAGAGAGGTTAAGTAACTTGCTCAAGGTCACACAGCTAGTAAATGGTGGAGCCAAGATGCGAGCCCTGCATTTGACTCAGAGTCTGTGCTCTTAACTGCTGGAGTGCACAGCACCCCCATGGGGCTGAAGGAGAAGAGAGCTTCTGTGGCCTCACACAGGAGGCAGGGAGCGGGTGCAGGAGCAGGAAGCTGGGGGAGAACGTGAGTGGTGGCCTGCTGCAAGAAGGAAGCAGGGAGGCGGGCAGAAGGGCGGGGCAGGGCATCTAATGAAGAACCACTTTGGTCAAAGAAGCGTCACATTTACACTTGAAGTTTTCTTACTTTCATCTTATGAGGCTGCATGAGTGCAACTCAGATAAGTAGAGGTGATTTTTTCAGGGGGAACAAATCAAACTGATGTGAACCCTTTTAACGCAGGAACATACAACTTGGAATTTTTAGATTCTGAAAAAAAAATGACTAAAAATCAGAAAGAATCAAATGAAAGTAGCTGTTTCTCCTCTCACGAGTTTGGACATTGAATTTTTTTCTTCTTTCTTCTCTTCTAACATAAACAATCCCACTGAGCCAAAGACAGCACCTGGGACCCAGATAAAGGGCAGAGAGGTAGGAACCCAGAGGCTGAGGTCCGCACACACTGCTCAGCCCGGCGCTCAGCCGTCTGGGCAGGCAGCTGAGGAAGCAGCGGCGGATCCCAAACTCACTTTTTGCATCTATGAGCCGCTCCCGGGGTGCAGTATCAGAGGAGGAGAGCTGCTCCTTGACTTTGGCGATATCTTTAGGATGCAGGTAGTCAAATAAACTCTGACCAATCAGATCATTCTGTGGGAATGTATCATCAAAAAGGACAAGTCAACGGCACGTGGAACATACATTAACCAACAAGGGCTTGGCCTTTACTCTGCATTTTTAAGCACGAGAATTTCAAATATTTCATGTGTTAACATGTACACACGTCCAGTCACTTTGCCTAGATATAGACACAATGAATGAGGCACTGGGAGTGTGGTTTTGATAAGACACGAAGGCAAAAGGGCTCAACCACATACATAAATAGTTCATGCTCCTCTACGGCAAAAGTCTTTCAGTATGTATTCCTTTTCATTTATTTCTGAGGCCCACAGATTTCCTTCTAAGACCTCAGAGGGAGGAATGTAGGGCGTGGGCTCTGACTCTAGCTCCATTAAACCTCTGTTCTTAAACAAGTTGTGTCATACTATTCGCCTCACTAGCCTAATTGTTAGCAGAGATAAAAATAACTTCTTCCATAGCTTTGCTCTAAGACTAAAAAGAGCAAAACACCTTGGAAACACTAAATTTACATTAATTCTAATTTATATAAATGTTATTTTGATTCTGCAATTCTTCTGCTTTACTAAGTTTCCATGCAAATACCAGCATGTGAATGAGTGAATGAATGAAAAAAACGAGTAAAAACTCTAGGGACAAAATAGGTGAAAAGCTCTGTTCTAGAAGCATTTATAAATGGTTATCTTATATGATCTTACAAACGGTCATAGATTGTATGGATTATTACAATCATTTTTTAGAGGACGCTGAGGTTCAACAGAGCTAATAAGTGACATATCACTGTTAACACAGTATGGGTGGATTCCCATTTTTCTTATTCCCTGGTATTGTATGGTCTGCCTACCTGTCTTCCTTGTCAGACAGCCCCTTGCCCCCCTACCCCTACACTGTGGGCTATTTATCTTGCAGCAGTGAGAAAGTTACAATGCTGATAAGGTCGAACTTCCCAGTGGGGGAAGCACATTAAAGGAAGTTTTCTAAGTTTATATTCATTTCTGTGTACAGAATCTTCTGGAAGAAGGATGGGGTGGGGGAATATATAAGCACTTCACATGTCACTTGTCCACCATAATTATTCTGAGAAGTGGGGTGACCTTTTTGGCTGCTGTGAGGCTGCCCAGAACCAGCAGCAGGAGCAGTACCTGGCTGTAGTTGAGGATCTTGAAGACAGACTCTGACACAAAGAGGATCTTCCCTCGGTCACATCCTACGACAAACAAAAATCCATCTGCTGCCTAATCAGGAGAAATGGATAATCAATTTATCACACTTTAGGAAACATGATTTATAGTCACTCTGATAGCAAATAAGGATTGTTTTCTAAGTATCCAAAGCACAGGACTGCAGTCATTGACAGTTTCACAGGTATCCTGAGAACAGGATGTTCAGAACAAATGCCTTCCGAGAATAGTAAGATTCTCTCCAAGGCGGATATACACACATGTATTATCTAATGATTACAGGGGATAGTGCCATTAGAGTAAGTTCTGTTTCAAGGCAGAACTCAGCTTAAGAATTTTCCTTTGACTGCATGAAGGTCCAGAGAAATACATTTCATTGCTCTAAGTATAACAATGCTGTAATATCATAGAATCTGAGAGCGGAAGGAAACTTTAGGATCAGAACCCCCTGGTCCAATATCGCAGCCTCCATCTGTCCTCAACTCGAACACCTCCATTTCCAGGGAGCTCTCGGGAACAGTGGTTCTCAACATTTGAAGTGGGGTTTGCTTTTGGTTTTTTACGCTGATGGTCTGGAATGGGGCTAGATCACTGGTATGATTATTACCCCCTCCCCATCCCACCCTTACCCCCACCCCAAAGTGATTCTAACGTACACAGGCTCGAGAAGTACTGCTCCCAAGTATTATCGCTTGACCCAGGGCTGGGCTGTTTGTATCCTAAATTATACAAAAAAAGAAAAGCAAAAATTTCCCCTTTCTTTTCACCTCTTCTTCACTTTAAATACAGGTAAAAATCCAAAGGGCCAGTAAAGATAGGTGTGGAGACAGGACAGTATTTGTTGGATAGACTGAAGCAGGTAAACACCAAAGCTACGGTACCTGAGAGCTTAGGATGTTTTGTGCATGTGTGACTGAATCCTATCCACGACTTTCCAGGCGGGCAACTACTCAACTCCTGCCGGGGCCTTCCCGGTGCCAGGGAGGTGCTCCGTTCTCTACCACGCACTTGCTCTACATTCAGCTACCACGGGCTAAATCACAGTGCGTCATCATCTTGCGTTATTTGCTGGGCCGCAGCCTGTCCTTTGGAAGAATCTAGAGAACCCTTTTCCACAAAAGGGCCTTCGGGATGCAGTTTAATTCAAAGAACTAGGAAATGAATTCATGTGCCAGAAGGTAACAGAATGGTACATGCACTTGTGCTGGGATAAAAGAAGTGAGTAAAAGGGGAACAGATTCACTATTGCTGTGAGAGGGCTTGGCAGGCTGTCCTGCCAGAAGGAAGCTGGGGATGATCCTTTCCTAAGTTAGGTCTCTGAGCTGGCCCAGGGGCAAGGGATGACGGTGAGGGGGAAGCGACTTCCCAAGCACCATCTGCTGGAAGCCTCATTCTGTCAAAAAAGAGAGTATTAATAACTTCCTCACTTGCCTTGCTGACAATCTCATATCTAACGAGAGAAGAGAGTATTTTGAGGCTTTTCATTAATGAAGTGATGTGGCACAAAAGATGCCTGGGAAGAAGGTGCTCGTGACATCCTGGAAAAAATGCTGGGCAGAGTCAGGCCCAAACTGGTGACACGAGTGCAGTGGATTTGAACACATGCAGGGGAGGGAGAGGAGGTTCCAGAGGCTGGTGAACACGGTCAGCACAGGGGAGGCACAAAACATTCCGACACCGCTTTACTAGGGCAGATAAACACCAGCAGGTGAAGAAGCTGGGGCTGAGGAGACAGCCAGAGGGCAGAGGGGTGAGACACGAGCACCACGGGGCCAGAAGACCAGGGCAGGCTCGCCCTCAGGGAGGACGGTGTTAAGTTAATGAATGACACGGAGCCGAAGCAGCCGCCACGTTTTCAAAACTCGGGACATACAGGATTCAGACACTACAAACTGATCAGGTTCACTGCTCCCTGACACGCCGGTTATTAAAGATATTTTGAAAGCACTTAGTAAAGAATGCTATTAGTCAGATTTGCACTGGTAAGGAAAAGTGGAAGTCCAGTTCCTGCTGCCAAACCGTTCAAACATCATCTGAGTGGACCCTGCCATCTGTTGAAGCAAATTCCCAAGAACTGGGCACCTGGAAGCGGCAAGGAATCAGACAGTACTTCACAGCCACTGAGATGGGCCAGAGATGTGAGAAAAGTTCCATCAGGGAAGACAAGTCACCACTGACGTTGTCTGAGAGACAAGAGCAGAAAAGGCAAGCCCAAGATAAAGTATTTAGTTTGGATAGCATTAAAACTCTTACTCCAGACCTTGATAAGTGTGGGCATCTAATAGGAAATCATTCAGAAAAGCAGCAACAAGACAATTATTAAGCACTTGTCATCACAAAAAGAGCTGGTTTTATACATATACACACATATATATTTTTTTCTTTAAAAACACCAATTTGGACTTCCCTCGTGGTGCAGTGGTTGAGAATCTGCCAATGCAGGGGACACGGGTTCGAGCCCTGGTCTGGGAAGATCCCACATGCCGCGGAGCAACTAGGCCCGTGCGCCACAACTACCGAGCCTGCGCTCTAGAGCCCGTGAGCCGCAGCTGCTGAGCCCACGTACCACAACTGCTAAAGCTCCCGTGCCTAGAGCCAACGTTCCACAACAAGAGAAGCCACCACAATGAGAAGCCCGCACACCACAACGAAGAGTAGCCCCCGCTCGCCGCAACTAGAGAAAGCCCGCGCCCAGCAACGAAGACCCAACACAGTCAAAAAAATAAAATAAAATTTTAAAAAGTACCAAATTATCAGTATGGCAATTAGGACCAGCTACATAATATGTAGGGCCCAGTACAAAATGAAAATGTAGGGACCCTTGTTCTCAAATACAATTTTCAAGATGGCGACAGCAGAGCATTAAACCAAGTGCCAGGCCCTGTGTGACTGCATAGGTTGCATGCCCGTGAGGCCAGCCCTGGTGGTCTCTCTGGAGATGCTGCAGGTACAGTTTACATCTTAACTCCAGCAAGTCCTCCCTGAGAACAAGGACATCTTTATGAAAAGGATGGAGAGGTGAGGGCAGAGTTGGGTCTTCTGAGCATGCCTTGAGAGGTAACCAAATGACCATCGCCAACTTCCTGAGAAGCCTTGGTCCCACCCTACAGTGTTTATCAGTGATTGGATGTTTGTAGGACAGGGCCATGCATAACCAGTAAGTCCTAAAGTGTTTGCTCAATTAGCTAGTGAATGAAAATGGAAGACAGAAGACATACCTATCCAAGCTTCAACTCACATGAAGCTCTGAAGAATCGCTAATGATAAGCTGGAATATGGGACTATCCAATAAATAGATACTTACTGGATGGATAAAAGAGAAGTTCAAAAAAACTGCACCTACGCACGATGGAAAAAACCCGGCCCAACAATAATTCACGTACAAGAGCCGGGGAGGGCCACTATTACAGCTACCCCGGATGTGGCTTCTACTGCAAGGGAGGCTACCAGGCCATCCAACCCCAGGCCAATCAGGCCACAGCTGGAGTTCCAGTGGCAGCCACTCCTGGAGGGAAATCTAGCAGACAGATGCGGTTCTGTAATGTGTGGCAACCGCTGCTCCCGACCCCCTTCTCTCCTGCCTGTGTCTACGATACTTGTTCTGCAACATGACTTGCAGCTATGGGGGACCAGGTGACATCTTCTGGATAAGCTGAAGTCCACTACTGTGCTTCCAGGAAGGTGCATCCTTTCTTGGTACAAAAGACGGCTGGCCTGGAGCCTCCCCTGCCCTTTTTCTGGCTGATCCGCTACTGAGAGCTGGCACAGGCCGTCTCACTCCAATGAGGCAACAAGCTACATGCTAGCTCAGCAGGGTTGTGTGAGAGGACAGAAAGAGCCTGGTTCCTGCTGACCTCACTGAACCTCTATACGAGCCCCTCACAGCCTACCCCAGGACTGGCTATGCTGGAGAAACAAAGCCCTGTTTATTCAACACGTCTTCTGTTCCTTGCATTTAATACAGCACGTCACGAGGGGATGGATAGAGACTATTGGAACGAGCAGGCAGGCCAGGCTTACAGAGGGCCTGAAGCCGGGGTGAGCTGAAAATGGGTAGCGAAGATGCAAAAATGCAGCTGGACTAGCCTCTGTGCCGGGGCTTTGCAAACTTCTGCTCAGAGAAGTGAGGTCAGCCCTGGCTGTGGCGAGATGGGGCAGGTATCCTTGCCTTAAGTTAGGTTTCTCTGTTTCTCTTTTCACAGTTTGCAAGAGAACACGTTTCTGAATTTGGTGTCTCTCCCTTCAATTTCCAAGTGAATCTCGCTCTACCCAGAGCAGACCTGACTCAGCACAGAAGCCGGGTTCCCGCAGTGCCACCTCAGCTGCCTCTCTGCAGAGCCTGGCAGGAGAAAGTGAGCACTGCAGTCACGCAGGTGAAAGCATCGCCTCCTCCACTTACTTTCCTCCTCAGGCCATGGTGTCTTTGGAAGCTTGTTGTTTTGATGGAATTTTGGTATAAAGATTTAGGTGGCTGTTTTTGTGCTAGTGGTTAAGTGATGAGAGAAATTCTCAGCTGCTCTCAGTTTCAGTCCCTTTCTAAAACCCTCCTATTCAGGAAGGGGATTCTTCATTACCTCCTATTCTAACAAAATGTGCTCTTCTTATTTAAAGTCCCAGTAGCATAGACCTTCAATTTTTGCTTGAGCAAGGGTAGAAGAGGAGGGTCTCAGGGAAGAGATGTGAAGCCTGTTCAAACAGTAAGAACAAGGTGGAGACCCCAAAAGAGGACGTGAGCCTAAGCTAGTTCAGTGTTGAGACATCAAATTCCCACACGCTGGTGCTTAACTCTGAAATTTGTAAAAATAAATGTTGTGTAAAACAATCCCATAATTGCAACATACCCTGAGAATAAGGTGTTTCAATTCATCATCTGAGAGAAAAGTCGGTTTGTAGTTTGCTTCTGTGTATGGATTGGTGGCACCTTACAGGGGAAAAAAGAGAAAGCGTTGGAACACTGTATTTTCAGATGTCTCATTCCATTCGACTGCCTCAAACCTTCCAGATGCGGCCAGTCCTTACCACCTGGGGTCGAAATTTTGTCTTCTTTTTCCTTTACGGAGACAGGGCTAGATCTGACTTTGGACAGGAGCCTCTAATGCCAAAGAGAATTCCACCGAAAAGCAAACACTGCTGCCCACAGGAGACTTAGCAAGCTTGCTTTTGTCACTATAGTGAAAATCAGGAGCTGCCACAAGTTAAAAAACTGCTTCTAAGAGAGAAGGCAGCTCTAGGAGCAAACTGGTAGAGACTCCTGGGAGGTTCCCTCCTCCCAAGATCTATATTAAATGGGTTGTCTAGCGGTTGCTCAAATCTCCACTCTAAATGTTCTTGGGAAATCATCCAGACTGCCAGGCCCTGAGTAAACACCCTGTAGAAGGCATTTACTGAGAGCTCCTCTTCATCAGGGTTGAATTAAATGAGCTTGGCAACCCGGAGAAATGCATTTCTTCAGTAAGTGCAACTCGAGCTCCCAGGACTGGAAGGCACAAGACTTATGTTTAAAAGGCTGTCAATCTGGCATCTTTCAGGAGAATAACTTAGAGAAAAATGCCAGCAGGAAATGACTTGAAATCTGCAGAATGGTTAGTAAAGGAGTGAAGAAGTAAAATGAAACGATCTATAACAATTCCAAGTACCACCGGGAAGGAGGGAAACAGAACGTGTCCTGACTTTCATATCAACCAACAAGGCACGTGTTACTGACCCACGTCCCTGCTTTTTAGGGTAACTTGAGCTCTGCCACTCTTTTCCTTCCAATGTAATAGAAATTAGTTATGATTTAATCTCTATCTTCACTAATATGAATTTTAAAATGCCATTCTCCAGGCAAAGGACACAACATTTATATTTTTGAATAATGATCAAAAGTCAGACAAAACCAGCTACTTCTCATTTCCGGTGGCTTTGTAGAAATATAAAAGATGTAATTCTTTTACCACACAGGTCAGAGATCTGAGTGAGTGCCCACTTTCCAATTTCCTCAAATAGTCCAAGACTAGCTGTGGAAAATTCCAGGAACCGCATTCACTAAAGTGCCTGATACAGTTTGGATTTCTCCTGTGGTGTGGATAAGTCACTTCCACGTCTCTGCCTCTGTTTTCTCACCCTCCCCGCACTCAGAAAAGAAGGAAAACACTGCTTCCCTCATAAAGAGTTGATCTGGTTTGGGAAAATTCCAGGAAGATGAAAATATCATCAGTGTTCATTCCTGACGATAAAACGCAGCAAGTCCCACCAACCAGTGACTCACTCTTCAAAAGGAACCATGATGAATTTTCCTCTTCAAAACTGAAACTGACTTTCCTGTGTCACTAAGGGCACCTACATTTCTGATGTATAGCATTGTATGCGTGGGGCCCAGGCACCACATATGCACAAGCTGGCCCTTCAGCAGGGTCCTCTCTGACATGTATGCGCATATACACACGCACAGGACATAGCCTCCACCCTCTGGAGACGTAGGACAGCAAAACTGCATCTTGATACCCACAGAAGCTCAACAATCGTTTCATTTGGCATCAGGTCTATTGCTGAAAATGACAGGCATATTACTCAAGGCTACACATTTGCAAGTAATAAACACTTGTCCCTAAGGAGACTCGGGAACATTCTAGGAAAGGGTGGTAACATTTGTGAGCAAGGGCATAAAGGACAATAAAGCCGGGATCTCACCTCGTAATGTTTTCATGTGCTGAACAGCCATCCTCAGCACGGTAAGTTTATCTAATTTCCTGGACATCGCGTTGCACGTTGGTACCAAAGAAGCCAGTTCATCAATAAAACTGTTCATTTTATCCCGACGCCTCTTTTCAATCTGGCTGTGAGCTTCCCTGAACAACAATATGAAAAATGATTTCTGTAAAATGTAACAGAGCATCAAGGAAACGATGAAAATAAATTATAGCTGTTTTCAATATTCATCTGTCAAGGCAAATTTAGAATCTGCAGAATGTTTCAAACTAGGCCTTCCTACTAAAGTCACCCAAAAAAGTGGGCTCACTGCCAGGTCAGTATTAGGTTTTTTTTTATGCTCACCTCATCCTTAGAATTGAGAAATATTACAAAAACTGTCTTTTCAGAGTAAACTGAGCTGTTAATTTCTCCTCATTTCTTTTCCTCTCAGCCCCGATAAAGTTGGATTTTAAGACAGGGGTGAAGGAAAGAAGGGAGGTGGAGAATTCAAAGGGCAAAGCATCCGGAACAGACATCTGTGAGGGCGCCACGCTGAGCTGTCTCTGAGGTTTGTGGGGAGCCTGCTGTGTGGCCCGTCGGAGACCGACTGATTGAGACACCAGGTAACTAACGCCACTGTCCTTGGATCGGCCATGACCCCACCTAGACGCAGCACTTGCTACATCTGTCCCCAAGAGTTTCCACTGAGGAATGTCAACACGCCTTCCTCCCTGGAATTGCTGCCTGCCGAGTCAGCGTGACACTTCCATGGGCACACACTCCCTCCCTGACTGGTTTGCACCAGTCATTCGTGACTGTCCCCCTCAAGAGGTGTGTCAACAGGGCTTCCCTGGTGGCGCAGTGGTTGAGAGTCCGCCTGCCGATGCAGGGGACACGGGTTCGTGCCCCGGTCCGGGAAGATCCCACATGCTGCGGAGCGGCTGGGCCTGTGAGCCATGGCCGCTGAGCCTGCGCGTCCGGAGCCTGTGCTCCGCAGGGGAGAGGCCACAACAGTGAGAGGCCCATGTACCGCAAAAAAAAAAAAAAAAAAAAAAAAAAAAAAAAAAAAGAGGTGTGTCAACAGTGGAAACGTAGTTTGCTGCCACTGCCACAGCAACAGGACCGTGGGATCTCTTGCCAAAGCTGGTCCACGAGGGAAAAGCCAGAACTGTCGGTCAAATTCTGCAGCCCCTGGTTCTGTGTCACGATACAGACTCAAATGGCCCTGGGGCTACTGGCAGAAGAGCTCAGGATCTGCATGGAAAGGAGTCGCAGGCATGGTTGGAAGCAGGAAAGACGGAGTTAGAGAATCTCCTCGAGGGAGCAGGGCACCCCCAGGTCTAGCCTTCAACTGCACCTTGCAGAGCAATAAGGGCACTTTCAGAGGCTTGGGACAGGCCGGGGAACCGAGTCACTGAGCCAGGTCTCCCCGAAGGGCCCTGAGTCAGGAAGGAGTAACCTGCTGAAGACGGAGAAAACCTTTAGCCTTGATTTATCTTCTGCTCCCTCCAAAGCCCCCTTCCAGTTAACTGTGCTTAGACAGCAAAGAGTGAAGGCAGCTCAGCCTGGAGGGATGGAGGGAGTGGAAGAAGGCCACATCAAGCCCGGGCCCCCCATCCCCTTCCTCCTTCCCTAAGGACGTGACAGTGTCGAAGACCGTCTGACAGACAAGGACCAGATATGCAGAGCCTCCTTGGCTACACACCAAGCAACCAAACTAGGACAGTTTATAGACAGAATGAGGGTCCAAGCTCACCTTGCATTTTTGATCCTTCCTTGGTGCTCTGTGTATTCTAACCTGGAAAAAAAAAAAAAGAAGAAACACAATGTCCTGGAGATTGACAGCAGTTACACATCTGTTTTCTTCCCTGCCTTAGCCCTGTCATCTCTACATGACACACAAGAGCTTTGGTTGTTGGCCACACTGGGGGTGGGGGGAGGGAGACAAGTTCAAGCCCATAGGCTCAAGGCCTCCTTGCTTATCCCGAATCAAGGACATGGATGGAGCCTGCACCACGTAACAGAATGTTTAATTATGCAAAGAAAATGGCTCTAAGGATGCTGAAGTTCAAATGACTAGATTCATGGTACCTTCCATGAGGGTCGTCTTTGTCTGTGTCCATGCTTTCTCTGAGAAAACAAAAGAGAATGTGACTGTTAAGACATACAAAATAGCTTCTTATCTAATACAGAAGGCCCTCATTTATCCAGAAACCAAGCAATTAGAAAGCTCAAATAGTCATAGTATTGACTCTTGATGTATAAAAGTAAAACAAACAAAACCAACTTGAACCTACTATAAAACCCAGACCAAACAAAAGTTATATATACCGTCTCAATAGAGTTCTCGTGTTAACATATTTTTACCGTATTGATTGTTTGAGAAAATTGGGAATACATACAGCATTTATGGAAACTCTTAGGTAACCAGAGTATCTGAGTAACTGTAACACCTCATTCCCCCCCGCATCATTCTGGATAAATGGGGTTCATACATTTGCAAAACACATCAAGCATCAAATATACTATATATTTGGTGACGGTGGGTGAGGTGAGGAGGGGAAATCAAAGTACCCACAAAGAAGTACTGAGCAGAGCCCCAAGCCAGCTCTTCAAAGGCACTGCTACCCAATGCTCTGGTTCTCAGCTCAGCGGGAAACCCCGAGCCCTGAGAAACTGGGACAGAGGGAGGCATGGGGTTGGGGGGCCACAGAGATTCCTGGGGCCACAGCAGGGATCTGCCTTCCTTGCATGGACTCCAGAATCCAGTTTTCACATCACCTTGTGGTTCAGTAGAAAACAGATTGAAATCCTCAGAGGAAGGAGTTCTAAATCCCCTGGGTCAGCTCACACCCTTCTCCAACCCCTAAATCGCTCAGGAGGGCACTGGCCAACATCTGGGCCTCCTCCTTTCTCCTGTAAGAAAGGAGGGATTATGGCCTTCCAAACAATGTCATCTCAAGGGCAAAAACAACTTTCTCAGGAGCACTGAGGCACATCACGGGCATTCTAGAACAGTGGTTCCCAACCAAGAGCCCTCAATTTCCCCACAGGCAGAGACTTTCTCTAGCTAGTCCTGAAGTTCAGAAGAAAATCTACAGGCCACAGGGGAAAATGACAACTCTCTCTTCCCTTTTGTCTAGACTTGTATCCGCTCACTGAGGCAGATGACCATCTCAGGTGAAAAGCAGCTCTGCCCTACAGGTATGAGTTTAGGGCATTAAAATGATAAGATAAAGGATTATGGTCGCTTAATTAATAGGGTCTCCACGAATTACAGAAGACCTGCAAACTGGGGTCCATGCAGGAAACCTGAAAGTTCTGGATGGAGACAAGGTTGGGAACCACAGATCTAGATAGCAGAGGTCTTAGAACATGTCAAGGCCTCCATCAGCACTGGCCCAAGACAAAGGCTCCACAGAAAGCACCTAGTTTCCCTGTTGGGGAGTTACTGCCATGGAAGAACACCCTCTCGGTCCTCACACCCACTCTCCATCCCCTGGGCGTCCACTCTCTTAATCATCTGGGATCACTTACATATTACTCATAGCATCTCCTAGTGGGCATCTGACCTCCAGCCACTGTGCTCCCCAAATTCGACCTGTGAACTTCAGCAGAAAGGACATCTGCTGTAGGGGGATACCTCCTTGGAGATTTTCCCTCATTAAACAGAAGAAAACCTCTCAAATGGACATTTGGGCAAGACTCCACAGTTGCCTCTACAAAACAAAACGTGCCTTTGGATGTTCTATGCTGACTTATTCCCTAGATGTTTGTTCAGCTACAGAAGAGCTGACTGTAAGTGTGAAAACTTACTTACTCAAAAGAAAAGCCATCTAGTCTAAAAAGAAAAGTACTATTTAATGTAAGAGGAACTAATTTAAATAATGTTTAAGGACAATGTCACTGTTCCTATACTGTTTCCAGAGATGACCTCTACTTATTCACTCCACAAACGTTAAGCAAGCCATTGATGTCCTCCTAGAGAGAAGCCTTCAGGCAAAGCTCTTTTTGAAACCACTGAGGTTACATCCAGGGACTTGGCCATCTTGCTCACAAGAGCAAAGGAAAATGAAGAAAGGGGTAAAATGTGGAACCTGGCTTTAAGGCTATTCTTTTTCCCTCGATGTGGAACAATCTGGGGACAGGAGCAGGGAGTAAACACCTCAGCAGTACTGGAAGCTCCCTCCTGCTTGCAATCCAGGGGGAAGATAAAGGGCAAAATCAACTACTGTGTGGCCAGCTGGAGTTGGATCTTTCATTCCCACCCCTTTTCACAGAGAGGATCCCTTCTTCCAGGAGGGACAGTAGAGGCCCTAGATGTTCGTGCCTGTGAGCCGACACCAAGTTTAGCCAGAGGAAGACGAGCCCAAAGGCCTTACTGGTAGTCCGTGGAGCTGCCCTTGCGTTTCCGGTTGCAATCCATGCCACCGGTGCCCAGGGGGCTGGAGAGGAGGTCGGTGGCACCTGGGGACATGAAGTCGCTGATAGTTGAAGAAATGTCCATTCTCTGTTCAGCCATTGGAGTCTGGAATAGGTACAAGGAGGCACAGAGGCACGTTTATTTCTACGTGCTCTTCTAAGGTGGAGGACGACCAGGGTGGCTCTGTGGAGGAAAAGGGACTTGATTACAGCACCAACATCTCTCTCGCCCAGCCAACCAGAACAGGACCAGGTAGAACTGGAAGGGGCATCGTATTTACTCTAGGAGTTACTATAGGTAATTTAGGCTCACCCACTCGTTTTTCTTGTAGACACAAAGCTCAGAGAAACTGGGTGGCTTCTCCTAGATCCCCATGCCAGGGCATGGAAGAACTAAACCAGAACCCAAGGCTCTAGAAGTTACAGCCCTGTGCTCCTCCCACGGAGGGGACCAAGTGTCCCAGATGTTCTGACAGTCCTAAATTAATCTTCTTCTAATCAAATCTAATCAATGAAATAAACATGATCTACTTGTTATCTTTGTGTTTTTAAAAATTTATTATTTTATTTATTTTTGGCTGTGTTGGGTCTTCGTTGCTGTGCGCAGGCTTTTTCTAGTTGTGGTGAGCGGGGGCTACTCTTCGTTGTGGTGCGCGGGCTTCTGAACGCGGTGGCTTCTCTTGTTGCGGAACACGGGCTATAGGCGTGCGGGCTTCAGTAATTGTGGCACGTGGGCTCAGTAGTTGTAGCGCACGGGCTTAGTTGCTCCGCGGCATGTGGGATCTTCCCAGACCAAGGCTCGAACCCGTGTCTCCTGCATTGGCAGGCGGATTCTTAACCACTGTGCCACCAGGGAAGCCCTATCTTTGTATTTTTATTACAATTTTTTATCAAGGTTGTAGGAAAGCAGAAAATATCCTTTCTCAGCCTGTAAGTCCCACTTGGGAGTCAGGAAAAAGTGGTCCCTCTCCATCACTGGCCCAGGCAAAGTCTGTCCTGTCCTCCCAAACTGTCCTTTTGTACTCAGGATTCCACTGCAAGGAAAACCTAGCATAATGAAGTGAAGACACTGCAAACACTTGCAAAACATTTTGAGAATTCATATCTTAAAAGCACAAAGTGAGTCGGCCCAAAGGAGAGGCTGGCAAGTACCTTGCAAGGGACTCCAACTGCAAACCCAGTTGAAGGTGGCCGTGCACTGCCCGCTGTCGGGGTCCAGCTCCAAGTGACGTGACTGGGGCTGTCACTCCCACTCTCTGGGCCCGAGTTTCCTCATCTGCAAAGTGAGAGGCAAGGGTGAGCTCTTGTTTTCACTGTCACTATTGTGCCCACACATTAGAGACCTGAGCCCTCCTGGTTAGGCGTGTGCTGTGTTTTCACTCTCACGACCATTGCTGGAGTGAACATCTTTGTGTGCGTAGCTCTGCACATTTGAGCTATTATCTCTAAAAGTCAGACTGACAGGTCTAAAGGGGACACACATTGCATGTTTTGGTAAATACTGAAACACTGTGCTCCAGAAAAGAACCAATAATTTACATCCCCAGTAAGAGCTCTTGTCAATCTGAAAGAAAAAAACGAAACCTGTTTTTACTTGTAATTTAAAATTATTATGGATGGTGCTCCTACGTTTATATGGGCATTTTTTGGTTTTCCTTTGTGCCCACTCATGTCCTATTTTCCTACCATATTGTCTTTAGGATCGATGGGCCTCCTAACTCATGCTCACCCGGGCACCTGAACTGGTGGGAGAAAAGCATGCAACGATCCTTGACTCTTCTGCTCCATTTATTCTCCCACTCTGCTACCATACTTGCTCTTTCCTCCTCAAACCTCCAACATCTCCCCAGTCCTCATGCTTAGCTGATACTTCACTAAGAGGCCAGCAACCACTTCTACCAGCTACCTAGATGCTGCAGGCTAGGACCCCAGCCCCAAAGCATGCTGACCCCATCCTCTTTTACTAGTCCAGACCATCCGCCCCAATCCTGCATCATCCACTTCCCCCACTCTAAAGCATCACTCCCATTAGGATAAGAACACACTCAAACAACTCTCATCTTGCGGGGGAGAAAAACACAACTTTTTTGAACTCCACTCCCTTCCAGTTACTGCCCCAATTCTTTGTTTCCAATTGCTTTCCTCTTCCCTCACTATAACTCAACTCAAATCAGGCTTTTGTCCCCATCATCCCACTACAACAGCCCCTGTTGGGTTCACTAGTGACCTCCTCATTGCTAAATCCAACAGCAAGTTCTCCATTCCCTCCCTACTCGTCCCATCAGCACATCTAATAGAGTTGATCTCTCCCTCCTGTCTCTCAGCTTCATGGTTCTCCTACTTCAGTGGCCACTCCTCTTTGGTCTCTTCAGCTGGTTCCTCTCGTCTCCTCGCCTCTAGCTGTCCTCGGCCCTCCTCTCTGTCTATACTCACTCCCTAGGAGATCTGTCTAGTTTCATTGCTTCAAATACTATCCATGCTATGACAACTCCCATATTTACATCTCCAGCCCAGATCTCTCCCCAGATTCCAAACCTGTATAACCAACCATCACCCTGGCATCTCCCTTTGAATATACAACAGAAACATGAAACATCCATGACCAATCCCTGGTTCTCCCCAAGCCAAGCCTCTTGGCCATGCCCAGGTCAGTAAGTGGTACTTCAATCCTGCTTGCCACTCAGACCCCAAACCTAGAAGTCACCCCTGACTCCTTTCTTTTCTTCACAACCTGCATCCAATCCATCAGCAAATCTTATCAGCTCAAGATTAAAAAAACATCCAAAATTCAACCACTTCTCCCCTTTTTCTTTCATATTTCTGCTCAGATGAAACTTCATCAGTGAAGCTTCCCTGAAGAGCCACATAATATGACCCCCCCACCAACTCTTCCTAACCACCCCAGGCCTGCTTAATTTTTTCCCATCGCCCGTATAAGCATTTGGCCTGCAATAATCTACTTAATTTACTGGCTGTCCTCTCCATTAGACTATAAGCATCAGGAGAGCAGGGACTTTGGTTTACTGCTTGCACCCTTAGTGCCTAGAACACTTTCTAGCACACAGTAAGCACTCAAAAAATGCATGTTGAATGAATAAATTTGTATATCAGGAATATTAATCTTTGCTCGTTATAGATGTTGTAAATACTTCCCCCCGCTTTTGCCTTTTTACTTTGCTTATGGTATTTGTATATGATACTAAAAGTGACATGTTTTAAAAACCCTGTCACCCCAAAATAATAAAAACATTCTCTTCTTTGCTGATGTTTTTATAATTTTTTTAAAAAAATTTAGTTCTTTAATCCACTTGGAAATTATTTTTGGTACACGACCTAAGGTTGGGAATTTCTTATTTCTCTCCAAAGAATAGACAGTTGTCCCAACACCACTCACTAGACCATGTGTCCTGTTACCTGTCACTTGAAATGCCATCTTTATTGATTTGTTTTCTATTTCTGGACTTTCTCTTCTTTTCCTTTGATCTGCTTATTTCCATCCTGGTACCACACTATTTATGATTGTGGCTTTATAATACATTTTAATATCTGGTAGAACAATTCCTTTCCTGCTTCTTACTCTTCATTTTTAGAAATTTCCTGGCTAGTCTGATGTATTCTTCAAGGAGCATTTTATAATCATTTAATCACATTAAAGGCCCTGCCGCAGCTGTAGCTTTTGTTGTTATTATCATCATTATTACTGACATTAAGAGAAGTAGGCCAGCAGTGAGCACAGACCTCAGGGTCTCGGTGACCCTTTGGGTGTCAGACCTGTGGTGCCCCCCCTAGCCCCCACTCCTCTTTTTGAACAGCCATACATTTGCATGAGGTGGAAAATTTCAAGTTTCAGGGCTCCTGGAAGAAACCACACTTCCTGAGGGAAGGACTACCATCGGAGCTGCCAATGATAGTCACTCTAGGCAGGGGTGGGTGGGATAGGATTGTTACCTGAAGTTACGGTTCTTAAACCCCAGATCCACCTTGGGAGAAGCAAGGGGCCACTGGACTTGTTGGTCACCTCAAAGCAATTTTCATGTTTTGTCGCTTCCTTTCAGGCAGTCAACTTCTTCCAGAAACCTACAGTGGGGCCCACAGGAAAAGAAATCCCAAACAGGTCAATTTGGAGTAAATGAAAAGTCTCATAGCAGCTGAGGAAGATGGGGAACTTGCTCATGACTCCTGATTACAGGGAGCAATGCTGAGCTGACCGTCCCGTCCTTCAACTGCCTGTTAAACTCAACTGCAAACACATGAGGAAGTCTGCCAGGAGATATTTTCTGTGAAAAACAATGCCTTTTAAATTACTAAACGTAAATTCTTGGACACGGCCTTAAGAGGAAGAAGATAATTATATTTTTCATTTCTCCTACGGGGTCAAGCAATAATAACAGTGAACAGTGACTGAGCGTGTACTTGGCGTCAGGCGCTGTTCTTACTGCACCATGTGGATTAACTCACTCAGACCTGAAAATAACTCTGAGGTAAATACTGTTGTTTCCACATTTTACCAAGAAGATCGAGGCAGAGAGAGGTGAAGAAACCAGCCGAGGTCACACAGCAGGAGAGCAGTGGGGCTCCAGGAGCTACACCTGCGAATAACGACACCACTCAACTCTCTCTCCAGCCAGGTGAGTTACCTAAATGCACACAACGAGGAACCACAGAAAACAAGTCTTCAGGAAACATTAAGCCAAGACGAAATGCCAGCAGGGCCAATACCTGAAGCCGCTGGGAGTGAGCTGACGCTGAAAGAAAATGTCCCTGAACTCAAGCACATGTGGTAGAGAAATCAGTTCTGAAAAGCTGCTCATGTTAAATTAAAGCGGGGGGAGAGTTTGCTGCCCTGCCCACCTCCTGCTGGCAGGATACAGGGGTCTCCTCTCTGGCCCTGCGACCCCTGTGGAAGGAACAGGCTCTGAAGGAAGAAATGGGCTGCACCCGCCCCACTACTCCCTACCTGCTCCACCTTGAGACGGAAAGACAGATTTTAACTGGGGCCTTCCTGACCTTCCTGAAGCACAAATTCTGGCGCTTCACATTCCACTGGCTAATTCTTGCATCTTCAATGACCTGCCTTTGTCTTGATCATTATAAAGGTCTTCAAATGAATATTCAGGGATAGAATGGACCGTGTCCTCCCGATTTATTCTTCCTCGCAGTCTGGTTCAGAAACCCTCACTGTCTGACACAGGTAACCCTGTCTGGGCAAGTGCAAACGATGTGACCAGGAATTCTGGACTCCCAGTCCCTAAGCCTCGATGGATAAGCAGCAGGGATGCAAAGTCCCCAGGGCAGGGCTGCTTGGGGGAGGCTCAACACACACGATCCCACCTAAATCTGATTCCCCATCCAGGTCCCACACTATCCCGCCAGCCCCCAAATTTGCAACCCAGGATCCACCCTGGGCGACCTCCCTTCTCCTTCTAACAGCCCCAGAGCCCACACTTGGCCCTTGGATGGGTGGGTCCAGCCACTTCATCCATCCTTTATCCATCGCCTCCATCCAGGCTGCTCCCCTCTCCAGTCTCGCCCCCTCCTCACCGTGGTCAGAGGTAGGACACCCCCTTGCTTAAAATGCTTCAGTGGCTTCATTGCTCTCCCCAAGCCTTCCAGATAAAACCCCAAACACCCCTAGCAGGATACACCAAGCCTCCGCAAAAGACGTGCTCGCTCTCCAGCCCGACAGCTCATCTGCTACCCGAGGCGCCAGGCTGCTGAAATACTTAAGCTCCCAAAAGCACGCAGCCGAGAGCACGAGGCCTCAGCTGTGCCCACTTTGTTTTACAGGTGTGGCTCCCTTTACCCACTCGGTCACCGGGGGAACGCCTGCGTGCCTTTCAAGTGCCCTCAGGTGTACCCTCAGAGAAGCCTCCAGCTCTCCCGGGCTGCCCCGCCCCTTCCCCTCGCCCGCTGCGGCCTCTCTGCCTAGACCCCGCCCAGCCCCGCCAGCTGCGCCTGGATCTCACGGCTCAGCATCTCCCAGCACCATGCCTTGCATTTTCTTTCCCCCACGTCCCTGAAATTTAGATAAAGGTTCTCCGTACCAAACTCCATACGAAATTTCTTATTTTGAACATTTTTTTCCAGCACTCATGTTTACTTTATAGAAATAATAAATGCTAACATAGATTTTTGGCATTGTATTTTGCAAAACAAAAACCATGTTTCTTATATGCTTGGACAAGGTAAGGAAGCTGAGTCAGCTGTGACAGTTATTTTTTGGAAAACTGTTTTCTCTCCAGGAAGGTGTTCTTAGAGGTAAGACAATAAATGGAACAACGAAAAGAAAAGGGGCAAAACACGTCTTCTGTGCTAACTACTTCCAGAAGAGATTTGAGCCAAGAGAGGGGGCTCCAAGAGGCCAAAGGTACCTGGGAGAGGGACCCTTGCTGACTGGGGGCTCAGGGCTGGCCCTGGTGCTGCCATCCAAGTGACACATAGCGAGGACGCTCTTGGGAGAGCCTGGCCATGGTCCTGGAGTCAGGGGTCACACGTGTGCCCACTTCTGACCTAGAGATTTCCGAAGGTGGGAGGGAGGCTCTCTGGGTGGCCAGAGAAAGCCAGGCATGAAGGGACCTGGGACGTGTACCTGGCAAGAGCTTGGGGGCACCCTCTGTCCCACCTCAGTCCCCTTGTGCTCCTCGGAGCATAGGGAGAAGATTCTCTGGGGTTCCACACAAAGGAGCAAGGGTGCTAGCAGAGGTGAGCCTGTCAGCCACTATTAGGTGCCAAAAGGAGACAGCTGGTACTCGGAGCAGAGTGGGGCAAGGCTGAAGGGCCCCTAAAGAAACCCACACACACCATCCACAGGAAGATGGCCACAGGGTGCCCTCCAGCTGTGGACCAGGCATCTCTGGGCTTTCCCTCCTCCCTGCCCCAGCACCCCAGAACGACAAGCAGAGAAAGGGGAGCGTGTGGATTGTATCAAGGTTCACACCATTAGCTGCTCCTCTGTGTGGGAAGTCGGCAGGCTGCCTCATGCCAGGCCTGGTCAAGTGACTCGCCCTGATGGATGAATGTGAGTGGAAGGGACAGTGGCAACCTTCAAACTGACCTTTACTGCGTGTCCCCCTGTTTGTGCCGAGACCAGCGATTCCTGGATAGAGGCTCCTCCTTTAGCCAAGACCCTGTACGGATGCAGCATGAACAAGAAGTAAACCTTGGCCACTGTAAGCCCGAGATGTTGAGGTTGTTTAATACCAGGGTGACTGGCTCTTCTGTTTGCCTCTGACCTTCCTGATTTAGCACTGAAAGTCCTGCATCCCCGGAAACCCCTTGGTCCCCTAGTTGACACAGGCAGGAAGAAGGAAACAGACTCTGATCCTGGAGCCACAGACCAAGCCTGACCTGGGAGGAGGGAGCGGGAATAGTGGCGGTCACACTGGTGGAGTTTACTCTTCACAGTAACCTATCTGTTAATTATGGTCATTATCCCAAATTTCCAGGTAAGGAACTAAGCACTGAAGAGGCAAAGACATCCTGCTTAGCAAGTGGGGACTGAAACCCACATGTGTCTGGCTCACTGGTGGTGGTTCTTTATTCTGCCACACCACTGCCCATCCTGCCCCCAAAGCCACCCCTACAAAGGAAAATACAAATGCCCCCAAAACAAGCACTCCTGAGGAAGGAATCGGGGAAATGTGAGGAGAAGCAATCCTGCTTCAGGAAAGCTACAGAAACTGAAGTAAGAAGTTGTCTCTGGGCTTCCTGGAAGCCAGGGCAGAGAGGGAAACGCTCCTCTTACTTTACTAGGGTTAGCAGGGAGAGGTATCTGTCCAAGAGACTTGTTGGGTTTTTTTTTTTTTGGCCACTCCAGGTGGCTTGCGGGATCTTAGTTCCCCGACCAGGGATTGAACCTGGGCCCCGGCAGTGAAAGCACCGAGTCCTAACCACTGGACCGCCAGGAAGTCCCCGGGAGACTCTTTCTATGTGACCTGAGCAACGCTGTGCCGAATGGCTCTGGCTCTGGGGAAACAAGCTTTGTGAAAGGACAGAGGGCTTCTCCCTTTATAAAATAGGACCCTGGTAAAAGCATGTTTCCCCTCCTGCCCCCGCCTGCAGGTGTAACAGCTGGATGGAGCTCTACTGAGACCACTTCGTGAAGCCTCAGGATGTCACTGGGGTAATGGCTTTTGATGATGTTTAATAGAAGGGCACAGCTTAGGAAAATATGGACGATAGTGAATCAACACCCTTGCTTACCTGTGTCTAGTAGCTACATGCTCACCGATCTACTTTGCCACAAAACCCCTAGCTGCCTGCAAGGACCCCTGTGTGGCCACCTCTGCATCCCCACCACCTTCAAGGCGCTGGCCCTGGACACAGCATCTGCTCCAAAGTACTGTCCTTCCCCCATGCAGAGGAGCAGGGCAGCTGGCCCCGGTTCCATTCTCCATATTCTCAACTCAAGGTTTAATGAGGGGATGAATGTGGAGTTGCTCTGGTCTGTTCAGATGGTGGTGGCCTTTGAGCAGAGGTGAGAGACTGAAGGGTCCCTGTCCCCTCTGCAAGTCCCCCTGATCCTCTGGTTACTCTGAAAGTTTGTGGGGAGTTTGGTTGCCTCGCTTTGCAACAGACGGATTTAGAGAACATTCACCCATGAGACCAGGTGCCTCGACCCTAAGATAACCGGGGTTTGCACCACGATCAATCAGCAAGCATTTCTTTAGCCCTAGTGGAAGTCAGGGCACTGGGGACACAGCGGGGTATGTTTAAGATCCCCTCAATCCTGATCACTGCTATAGGCAGGGTCGTGCCTGCAGTTGTGCAAGCAGTGCACTGCCCCATGTCAGTGTACCTGCGCCTCTGTTAAGTGGCAGAGATTTGTGGAGCCATTACTACAAATTTCCAGCAGGTGGCAGTCAAGTATCTTGAGGAAGAAATGCCTTTTTTCCCCTAGCTGTGGGGCATATGTGAGGTACAGGAGCAGAACAGAGGAGAAAATGATTAGCTTACTTGCCGGTGTGTGTGGGGTAATGGAAGGAGAAGGGACCAGGGAGGAGGGGAGACTTGAACCAGGTTTGCCTGGTGGACTGGATGATTAGAATGATGTTCTGAGCAGAGGAGAGCTCATTTGC